GTTGATGTTGTATTGAGATAGAGCCCCACTATGTAGACCAGGCTGGCCTCATAGAGATCTGTCTGCCTCTGCCTCCTGAGTGCTGGAATTAAGTGTGCACCTTGGACCCCAAAGATCCTCTGTCGTCTTCTAGGCTTCCTGTCCAGCCAAGTCTGTGCCTGCAGAGGCCAGCTGCAAAGCAATCGATCCTCATTTTCCTTTGGTATACCAGATCCTTGATGCTGATGGTGGCTACTTTTCAAGTTGCCCTGAGTTCATCCCCAGCAGTGGGTAAGCCAGGTGTGGTGGTGCACACCTACAATACTAGCACTTAGGAGAGGGAGGCAAGAGGATCAGGCATTTTTATTTTTTTAAGATTTTATTTATTATGCATGCAGTGTTTATTATGTATACAGCACGTCTGCCTGCACACCAGAAGAGGGCACCAGATCTCATTACAGATGGTTGTGAGCCACCATGTGGTTGCTGAGAATTGAACTTAGGACCATTGGAAGATCAGCCAGATGCTCTTAACCGCTGAGCCATCTCTCCAGCCCCAGGATCAGGCATTTAAGGTCATCCTTGACTGTATACCAAGTTCAAGGCCAGTCTGGGCTAAGACTATCTCAAAAAACAACAAAAAGTGGAGCCGGAGGGATGGCTCAGTGGTTAAGAGCACTGGCTGCTCTTCCAGAGGTCCTGAGTTCAATTCCCAGCACTCACATGGTGGTTAACAACTGTCTGTAACTCCAGTTGAAGGGGCTCTGATAATGCCCTCTTTTGGCTTCTGTAGGCATCAGGCACGCAAGTATTACAAAGACATCTATGCAGGCAAAATACCCATACATGTAAAAACAGCCATGTAGCTCATCATGATGGCACTTGGAAGTTTGAGGCAGGAGGATTCTAAGTCTGAGGCTATCCTGGACTACAGAGTTCTAGGTTTGCCTGGACTGTAGGAGACTGTTTCTAGCACACACACCCAAATAAATGTGTGATGACAAAGCCAGGAGTGAGCATCAGTGTTGACCTTGCAGGTGCTGCTGCCTTGCAGAGGACCCCAGGGAAGAGGCCTCCCACTAAAGGAAACCTTTCAGTTCCCATTCTGCCTGACACCTCATCTTTGTGTGTATACAAGGGGGCATTTCCAGAACGAAGGCCTGCCACAGCACAGTAGGATGACAGTTTTTCTTTTCTTTCTTTTATTTTTTTTCTTTTCTAAGTTTTTAGTTTTGGAGATAGGGTTTCTTTGTGTAGCTCTGGCTGTCCTGGAACTTGCTCTGCAAACCAGACTGGCCTCGAACTCACAGAGCTCTGCCTGCCTCTGCCTCCCGAAATGACAGCTTTTCTTGATACAAGCATGTAGCTGAAGCTGGTGATCGGCTAGCCTCTCCAGAGGCCTCCATTGTCTCTGGTGGTGTGTAAGTTATCAGGTCAAGCAAAACGCATCTTTTTCTACAGAAAGGGAGAGTAACTCTCAGGCTTGGAATGAGGTGGTAGGTAGGTGAGGGCTTTCCTGTTTCTGGTTTTCTCTGAACCAAATTAGAGACATTTATGTTAGAAAATTCCAAATTCTGTTTTCTAAAAATGTCTTTGTGTGGACCAGCTAGAGCTTCAAGCCTCTTTATTTGACACTCTTTAGAAGTGCCACTGTGCCAATTCAGCTGGTGGGCAGTGGTATTCTTGGCAAAGGATCTTGCTTGTAAAGGGGCAACTTTCTCCTCTGGGCTTCAGAAAGGCAGCAGCTGTAGGGAAGCCCTTGCTCTGAAGAGTTCTGCTGAAAGAGCAATGCCTATCCCAGCAGCTTTCAAGACATGGTGAAGTCCTTCTCAGGTTCTACGGATGGTGGCTAACGACTTCACAGACACTCCGGTCTGCTTTACGTTTCCAGCCCAACCACATTTTAGGGCTTGACTTCCATCTGAGCTAAGCAGCGTAGTGTGTGTAGGCTGCTGGGGACCAAACCCAGATCCTTAGACTAGCTACAGCGGGTGCTGCTCTACCGCCGACCCACACACCCAGCCCACAGTGTTGGTTTGTAACCCTCACTCTGTAAATTCTTTCTCTGGTAAGCTTGGCTATCTGCTCTTGGCAAGTCACTGTCAGATAAGTGCCATGTGGCCAGAGTGTTAGCTATGTAATAAATGGCAGTTAAGTCCTCCACAGGCAAGTTCCTCAACCAGGTCTGAACCTTCTAGATACCAAAGAGGACGCCTGGAGCTAATGATGAGCTGTGTGTGGACTGCTGGAGCATTTAATGATGAGCTGTGTGTGGACTGCTGACATACCCATTTGTAAAGGAATCAGGCCATTCATCTTTTTGACCCAACTAAAAAATTCCCTAGCCTTCGTATGAGCAGAAGAAACATTAAAACCTCAAGACTTTACTAAGATTATTTTTCTAAGACTTTACTAAGATTATTCTAAGTTATCATAATGATGTGAAGGATTTACTAAAAATGGCACATGTATTCAATCATCTCTTCTTTCCTCAAACGATAGAGGAAAGGCCAGTCCTTTCAGTCAAAGGACTTCTGGTATCTTTGCTTTGTCATATACTGGGACAGAAAATAATCTCTATTGGGTAACAGCTCCTTTCCTCCCTAACTAGATGGGAACTAAGCATAACCCTGGCACAAGTCTCTCTCCTGACAATTTTGCACTTCAACAGCTTGAACTACTAGATTTCTGTTTACACATTTAACCCATACGGCACATCCCATGGCTGGACACAATAGGAAGAACTGTGATCCACAGTCTACTCCCAAAACTAGGAAAATTGAAACATCAAACCATCCTGGGGCTAGACAATCCAGCTGACAGAACACTTGCCTAGTGTGCCTGAGGCCATTATGTGTAGTCTGGCTATAGCCTCAAATTCATGGTAATGCTCCTGCTTTGGCCTCCCAAATACTGAGCTATAGACATGAACCATACCACACATGTATTATACCCACATTCTTTTAAAATCTTCACGTGTGTATGTGTCCATGAGTGCTGGTGCCCACGGGTCAGAAGCTTCAGGTCCCCTGCAAGAGCAGTGTGTGATCTTAACACTGGCCATCTCTCCAGCCTCCAGTGTTATTTCCACGACTAGCCAATAGGAACTGGGTGTGCAGCTCATCAGTATTAGTGCTTATCTGGCACTCACAATGACCTTAGTTCAATCCTCAGTTCCACCAGAAAACAATACACTGAGTAGGTAGGTACTCTGTTTACTGAGCACAAAACAGACCATTAGTAATCAGAGCATCACTCTTAGCTTTCTTCATCACTTTCCAGTTTAAAATCAGTCCTCAAAGACCTTAAATTACACTGATTTTTGTGTTTGTGTGTATGAAAGCACTTACCATGTACGGTTAGAGGTCAGAGGACAACTCATGGGGTCCCTGAGATCGGACTCTGGCCGTCAGGTGTCAAGTACCTTCACCTGCTGAGTCATCTCAGCCACTGGAGTTACTTACACTAATGGAACCATTTTGTTGTGAAGGGCTAGGCTTCAGGAGCTCAACTCAGGGGTATTTCCTGGAGGAGGGAAATGGTTTATTGAGAAACTGGGAAATGGTTTATTGAGAAACTGGTCCTTTATATAGAGACCAGGGAAGTTTCTATATCCAGACTTTTTAACATGGGGTATGTGTGTGAAGGTGGGAAACGAGGACAAAGAGAACTTGCCCACTGGATAGTCCCTGTGTAGCTCTCTATCAGGCAAAGTATTTCTCCACAAGTGAAATTCCCCTGAATATTACTTAATGGTCCCAGGGTCAAACTACTCCAAGGCCAGCTAATTTCCAACTGGTTGACCCGAGTGAGACACCTCGTTTGTGTGTACTTAGTTGCCTGATCTGTACAGAAACGAAGTACTGGCAACAGTGCCGTGTGGGTAGCTCTCTGCCAGCCATCACTGAGGAACTACATCACAAGCACGTCTAAACCCCAAAGTAAATCTACCTCAATTACTTCTAGCTTCTTGCAATACAAATGTAGAGAGTAAAAACAAACATTTTAAAAAATTTTTATTTTATGTGCATTGGTGTTTTGCCTGCATGTATGTATGTCTGTGTCAGATCTTGGAGTTACAGACAGTTGTGAGCTGCCATGTGGGTGCTGGGAATTGAACCCAGGTCCTCTGGAAGAGCAGTCAGTGCTCTTAACCCATCTCTCCAGCCCCCAAATGAACATTTTTGTATGGTAAAAACTTATCAGCCAGGCCATGGCAGCACATGCCTTTGATCCCAGGACTCGGGAGGTAGAGGCAGGTGCATCTCTGTGAGTTTGAGGCCAGCCTGGTCTACAGAGTAGGTTCCAGGACAGGCTCCAATGCTACACAGAGAAACCCTGTCTCAGAAAAACCAAAAACCGAAAGAGAATAAATCTGGTGCTGACACAGTATCCAGGAGAGTCTTTAGCTAAATAGGAGAGTGCCTCACAGGTATTGCTTATTTACTGTCCAGGTCACTGGAGGGAAAGAATTTGTTTTAGAGCTAAACAGAAGTATCACACATGGGTCTCACTATGTAGCCCTGAGTGGCCTGGAACTCACTATGTAGACCAGGCTCAAACCCATGATCCTCCCCAGCCTCCTGAGGATATGTGCCACCATGCTTTGCTGAATAGCTTTAACTTTTTTGTAGTAATTTCATTAGGTGTGCATCTGTGGATATGAGTGCTAGTTTCTGAGGAGGCCGGAAGCTTTGGATCCTCCCAGAGCGGGAGCTACAGGCAGCTGCAACTGTCTGAAGTGGGTGCAGGGAGACAAGCTCGGGTTCTTGCAAAAACAGTACACGCTGTTAACCACTGAACCATCTCTTCAGCCCCTCGGAGTGTAACTTCTAAAGGGAAGTACCAGTTCTTATCCATCCCAGCTTTAAACTTGGATCGTAAGCAGAAGCCATGGTCATTCTGCCACCCAACTTTCCAACAGCGAGGCTCCAGAGCATGTCTCTCGAAGGCTGGTATGGATGACAAGAGACTCAGGCTCACTGCAGGAGCTGTTCCAACTACCAGAGAGACTACACAAGTGGTTCAACAGAATTTACTGGTATATTTTCCATTTTCTATACTATTTGAAGGCATAGGATAGCTTTGTAGTAGCTTTCTACAATACTGTGTTTTAAATCTATCCAGTAAACTAAGATGCAGTACAACTGGTATACAACTGAGGAGGTGAGAAGCAACTCGGCAGGCCCTGGTGCTCAACAGTTCCAGAATAAACAGGTAGCGCGCAGCTGCATTAAAAGGTAGTTTGCAAATATTCAAGTCACACCAAGATTCCTTCCAAATATCTGCCTTGCTCAAACCAACGCAACCGGCCTTTGCTAACACTGTGGCACGGTATTTAGTAAATGATGATGGTTTTACTTTCTTCTTAATCAAAAGCCTGTGAAGGTGCTGCCACGCAGCAGAGTAAATCAGCTCTGCTCGTGGTCGAGGTGCCAATTGTGAAGTCACAATAGGTACAGTTTAACATGAGAAACGCACGTTAACAAGTGGCCCAAATACAGAGCTGGACAGAATCAGACCAGTAAGTGTATAATTACTCAACTGAACTAACATAAGTACATTCAAAATAAAGCCGGAGATCAGAATTGGTTTAGATTCAAATTTGCAGACTTTCTTGATAAACTAGAAGTATGCTCTTCTGCAGTTGGAAATGAAGCTCTCACCTGGCGGAGAGCTAGAGACTTCTCAGTCCCTCCTGCACAGATAAGGAAATAAGTGACAAAGTCTCTTGCACTGAAGTTATGTATTTTAACAGCTTTACATGTAATATTCATATATAAAAAACTTTAAGTGCTTTTCTCCAATTTAAAAATCTAAAGAATTCAAAAATAAGGCATTCAATATTTGAAAAAAGTACAGATTTACAAAATGTGTATATTCTGTCATGAAAACTCCACACCAACATTATACACTTGGAAAAAAATACAAACAGGATATATTACAAATTTATGCAGCAATAACTTAGTTCACACCATGCAATAAAAAGTACATTAATCAAGATACACAAGCTTTTGTAGGTTCTAAACTGAAGGACTTTTTCTTTTTTCTCTGCAGAATCCTTAAAACCCGTGGCACTTAAAACTTGCTAGCCTTTCTACTGGGAGGTAAATTATACACAACAACGATGAAAAGATGAACAGACCAGGTGTCTATTAGGAATCATTCCAGCTTTGCTCAACAATGGCCGAAACTCTCTTCTCATATTCCCGTTTGTTTTCCTGATAAAGCTGTGCTGCTTGGCTATTCGCTGGACTGTTTGGATTCGGTTCATCCAACAGAGACTAGAACAGAGAAGAAAATGCTTTTCAGTTATATGTTATACTATTAGGGTTCAGATGAGGACAAAAAAATTTCTCAAAACAACAGAATTATCTCGAAGTTCCTATGTCATCTTTTAGGTCTCAAAACCTTCAGAAATGGCATGAACAGGTTTCTGCTGCTAAAGAACTCCAGCTTCCAAAACAATTCCAAGCTGCCTTGAGACCTCCCATTTCAAGGAAATCAGCCAAGAACAATGTTCATTAGCAAATAAGAACTTCCTTACCAGGAAATAAACAGCTTCATTTGGTTAAACTATAATGCCTGTAAATACCTTAGTAATTGTTATTTTCATATATTTTTTTTACTGCTCCTAACATTTTTTTGGTGGTGCTCAGGTCTCCAGCATGCTAGGTGAGTAATTTACTCCTAACCACACCCCAGACCTAAACATTACGGGTTAGGTTACTCAGCCAATCTGTAGGCAGGCTTGCTCCTTTGATAAATAAAACACGTGGGCTGGAGAGATGGCTCAGAGGTTAAGAGCACCGATAGCTCTTCCAGAGGTCCTGAGTTCAATTCCCAGCAACCACATGGTGGCTCACAACCATCTGTAATGAGATCTGGCACCCTCTTCTGTATACATAACAAATAAATAAATCTTTAAAAAATAAAAAAATAAATAAATAAAACACGTATGTTCAGCAGGGAGGGAATGAAATAGTAAAGGTGATCGGAGTGGGAAGGGAAGAGCAGAGAGTAACGAGTAACTAAGGGACCAGCTGCTCTTCTGTGGGGACTAGACCTTTAAATACATGGAACATGGGAACAGGAAGTGGATTACGGCAGAGGGCTATGGGGGGGAGGAGGACACAACATACAGGGATGGGTGGGACAGATGGACACAGTGAGCAGGACAGACAGGTAGTGGGGAAGCAGGTATGAGTAAGGGTCAATAACACAGTATGAAACATCATAATGACGTTCTCTAGAGATGAGCAGAACTAACAGTAGAGTAAAAGACTCACAAAGATGGACATAAATTGAAACATTTTGTGCTATTCTCAAATCAGCACAGCTACTACAACAGTCTCCCTGGCAGACTCACTGGCAAACAGTTCCTGCCCCTCTTTTATACACACACTTTCCTGGATGGGACAAAAGAGGCCATGGTTCTTTGACTCGGCAGTTCCTAAAGGTGCCTATGGTTTTCTAAGCAATCACCTTTACTTCTCCACAGATACCATGTGAACATGAGTAAGTCTGACCTGTGAGAATGTGTAGCACATGATTAGGGAACAGTTGTGACTGACTAGGCGTGGGAGCACACAGGCCTGTACCTGCAGCACTCGGGAAAGAGGCCTGAGGACCAGAGGTTATAAGTCATCCATGGGTCAGCCTAGGCAACAAGAGATACCACCCTGACCTCCAGAGGAAACAGGTTGTGGATTAGACCTCAGATGTCAACTAACAAAGTGCAGACGAGTCCAGGGTTCTTGTCTGAGTGCTGCACTAGCTCCTGGATGCTGGCTGGTGGTTTGTTTCCTTGGTCACCAGATGGCTCTAAGTAACTGGTTATGTCCCACAGAATACAGAGAAGTTGTGAATCTTCTGAAGACACTCGTACCTGAATTGAAGTTAAGATGGAAGAGACATCGTATGTGGGACTCCATCGATTCTGCAGGATATCTAAACATATGCTACCATCAGCATACACTGCAAAGACAACGCTGAATTAGTTATACCACCAACTCACATTCACTACCTGACCAAGTCACACATTCTAATCTCTTTCCTTCCGTCTGTCTTATGGGGAGACTTGTTCTTAAAAGTCATGTCTGTCTCACTTCAGAAGGCCGAGGGAGAGACTTTTTCAAAGCACAACATATATTAATCACTCCACTTCAAGTCCAAGGTTGTAGCTCAGTGGGAGAATGACTCCCCAGCACCCACACAAAACTACGCCACGCTTAAGTCTCCAACAGAACTCTTCAAAACCCTACTCTTAGAGATTATTCTCAGGAGATTATTAAGAATACATAATAGATTTATTTGTAGGAACAGTAAACTCCCTTATGGTCCAAAAAAAAGTGTCTGGCTAAAACACCAGCACAATCCTGCCTGGAGGTGGAGCATTTACACTCATGGACAAAGTCCTGGGTTAGGTTCCCAGCATCCTAAGAATAGTAGATGATGACACATTCAAGGAACACTACTAGTGTAAACATCATAAATGGCATCTATCTGCTGTGTTTGTCATGAAAACAAGAGGTTTTGTTTGTAGACAGGATCTCACTAAGTAGCCCTGGCTGGCCTGGAACTCATAGAGACTGGCCTGCCTCTGCCTGAAAAAGTCTAAAAATTATACCTAGTAATTCTGTATTTTGTTTTTTAAAAAAGTATATAAATACCCTTACTTTGAGTAAATGAAGTAACAAATATTTGTAAAATTATGTCAAAATATTAGCAGTTAAGACTGTCAGCTGACTTTTACCTCATCCCCCAACCTCTGGCCACACACAAGTGGAAGAAAAAGATAGAAATTAACCACCTAGGACACACCTTCTACCTCTGAGGTCAAGGTTACAGGTACTGCCAATGTACGGGACTTCATTCTTTTAGAAGAAAGTCTCACGTAGCCCAGGCCTGCTATGGAGCCTAGGACAGCACTGAGCTTCTGAGCCTCCTGCCTCTCTCTACCACCCAAGTGCTGGAATTATAAGCATGCTCCATTACTCCTGGCAATATTGTCAAACCGAAAAACCCCAGAACCATGATATTCTCCATAGCAACAGGGTTAAGGAGTGTGTGCCTTTCCTCAGGGCTTCATCCTAGGGTTTCTCTTCTTTCCATCCCCATTGTTCATCTCCTGGCAATTGTATCTACCCTTTTGGCCTCACCTTGTTCTCGATGTGCTCAGTATTACTAACGGTTAACCTCAGTCCAGATCTTTTGGCCTGAAAGTATAAGTCAGCCACTTCTCATCTGTCCTGCATAATCAAATGTCACACACCCCCAAGCCTCCCCCTCCCAAAGAAGCATTTGATAATTTTAAAGTTTTAAACTAGTTTTGATTTTTTGAGATGCCAAAAGGAAACTTGAATCCAAATGTCCATCCTTTGGTCAACAAGTAAACAGAATATATCTACATAGTAAATCATTATTCAAGCAACGGAGACAAAGTACAGTTATAAGGCTGGGTATGTAGTTCAACCACAACAGACAAACAAAAAGGTTTATATAGGCAGAAAAGTCAGTAAAGAACCCATTAACACAAAATATCCAGACTGTTGTTATCTCACAAGAGAAAGGGAAATTGGCCATTCTGATGGTTTTACTGTGTCTGTGACTATATCAAAACTGACTTTGAAGCTGCTAAGTAGCCGAGGATGACCCTGAACTCCTTATTGCCCATCCTCTGGCTTGCATGTGTGGTTTTTAAAAGTCAAATTTCAGGTGAAATTTTTGTTCTTTAAGCAAATAGATGTCTATTACTTTTAATTCAGATGTTATTAAAATTACTTTACCTCACACATGGAACCTTGTTGGGACTCTAACAACAAAACTGTGGCTAACACGGGTACGGAAGTGGTATCTGAAGACAGGCCCTAACTGTAAGAATAAGCTCTACCCAAGGGGAGGGACAAACCCTCCCACACCCTCATCCCATCACTGACAAAAATCTAAGAAGCTGCTACTTACCATTTGGATGAAACATTTTGGATAAAAACCTAACGGTTGGTGGTTTATTTGGATATTCTTCAGAAAATTCTATGACTAGTTTAAAAGTACCTAGGTAGAAAACAAACCAAATTACAGTAAGGACAAACATTACTTTTAAACATCTTCATCAAATAATTCTTAATTCCATATCGGATTTTGCACGTTAGGCAGAAAAGTCAGTAAAGAACCCATTAACACAAAATATCCAGACTGTTGTTATCTCACAAGAGAAAGGGAAATTGGCCATTTTGATGGTTTTACTGTGTCTGTGACTATATCAAAACTGACTCTGAAGCTGCTAAGTAGCCGAGAGAACTCCGGTGTAGCGTGTAAAACATCTAACACACTCTGTGTAGACTGTGGACAAGCGATGGTGGCAAGCACTTGGAGGACAAGCACTTTCATGGGCTACTACACAAGTGTGGAAGTGCTAACGGTCCCATCTAGCTAGCTGACTGACTGGGGGTGTGTAGATTTGTATCGCACCAGGGTGTGTGTGTGGAGGTCAGAGGTCAACTTCGTTCTGTAGTTCCTTCCTCCCATCTTTACCAAAGTCTGGGAGTCACTCAGGCTGTCAGAGTTTGTGGGGCAAGCTCCTTTACCCTCTGAGCCATCTCACCAGTCCCAACTGTCATTATTTTTGAAAGGTAACTGGACCCTAACTACTAAAATTTTAAAAATTCACACTTAAGGAACTAGAAAGTTTTTTACGGCTTAAATGGAGGATGCCAAAGGATTCTTAAAGAGCTGACTACCACCTGACAAAGGGCAGCTTAGGCCTGGGTGCTGATGGGAAAGTAGTTCTGTCTCCTTCATTTGAACATGCTAAAAACAAATTGCATAGTTTATATCTTTACTCATCATAGATTTGGAACACAATCTCCATTTCTTTACTTTTTGTTGTTGCTGTTGGTTGGAAATTTGAGTGGGAAATTTGGCTAAAGATATAAGCCAAACAAACCTAAGTTCTATTTCCTATGTGCACATATAATAGAGGTAACTCAGACAGTTGATGAAATTAGCCTTAACTACTATCCTGAGGATTAAACCAAGGGGCCTCACATGTATCTCAAGCATACACTCTTTGCTGATGTACACCTCAAACCCTTACATATTTCAAGTTTACATTTTCACTTTTGCAATTATAAAAATAGCTGGACCAAATACAATTTCAAGCGAAAGTATGGGATGGTTAATCTTAAACTTTTTGGTCTCAGGACCACTTAGCAGTATTAATCCCACTATGGGCAAGAAGTGGATTCATGAAACTGAGGTGTAGAGAACACCATACACTATGATAACTCACCATGGCAACAAACACAAGAACTCCAAGAGCCAGATAGTATCGAGTGGCAGAACAATTAGAAAATAACTTTGTGGTTCAATTATTACCACTTTCTGATTTCTACAATGTTGGTTTTTCGAGACAGGGCTTCTCTGTGTAATAGCCCTGTCTGTCCTGGAACTCACTCTGTAATGCAGACCATGTCGGCCTTGAACTCACAGAGATCCACCTGCCTCTGCCTCCTGAGTGCTGGGATTGAAGGCATATGCCACCACCGTCCAGCTAAAATGTTGTTTTTAAATGAAGCATTTAATTAAAATAGTGGCTGCAAAACTCTCTGAGATTTCAACTGGCCCTTGTGTTTCTGTATATACTGCCTCCAATAAGACACTGGTGCTATCTACTTGTACTAGAAATTGTCAGGTGACAGCTGGGGACATAGTCAGTGGTAGAACACTTGCCTAGTGAGTGGGTACAAGGCCTGGGGTGGGGTGCATGGGAATTTTAACCCCAGCTATTCAGGCAGCTGAGACAAGAGGATCTCAAGTTCTAGGCCAGTGTGAGCAACTCTGCAGCACCTTGTCTCAGAGTAGAAAGGGGTTGGAGCAATGTCAGCTCGGTGAAGAGCTAGCCTGACACACTTGGGGTCATACTCCAGCTATCGAAACAGAGTAACTGAGAAAACCCTAGAATTCATAAAAAAGTGACTGAGCCTTACTATATATTAACCTAAATTATAATATACTTAAGAGATGTGCTAAATAACCTACTTAAAGACATGCTAGTGATAGGTACCTCATTATTCTTCATTTTACAATTCTCTTTAAGGCTTAGTTTAAAGAAGACAGCTGGGTTCTCTTATCTACACACAATCTGTTGCAATCTGTTGTTTGACTGAAGTATAGTACATGAAGAAAATCTGGCCTCACACAATATGTAACTGAAAATTTTCATAGCCCTTTTGGATAACTGGACTGGTTTGCTATTGCACAAGATCTGTTTAATTAAAGGTTTGTTGCAATGGAGCATCTACAATCTTATCAATAAACGTTCTGTGCTCAGTTATATCCAACCCCGCTGTACTCTGGATACAGTTGTTTTGCTTTTGTCCTTCTCTGACAATGCTAGACTAGACCCAGGGCCATGCCAGGCGCACACTCCACCACCCAGCTCTTTCCCGGGCCTGTCAGTCATTCTTCCAAGTAAAGATCTCCATGACAAACAGCAGCCCACGCTGTAACCGACTCCCAAGTGCACAAGTGCGTTTGTCATGTCCCTTCGTCACACACAACACCAAGGAGCAGACTGAGAGTCCAAATTGAAGGACACTAGCAATTCCAACTGTCGTCAAGACATTTTAACACGCAGAGAACACAGCGACTGTTAGTATAGTATAGTGTGGGTCAAAGTCTCAACTTGTTCTTAGATGCTCGATTACTTAGGTAGAGACCTAGCTTAGATTACTTCTATACCTGCGAAGGTCAACAAGCACTGTTATCAAGACAGTCACATGGTCTCCTGAAAGGGGACTCAGACAGCCTGAAGGATTTGTGGATCGAACACAACTGAGAAGTCCTGAGATAGCTAAAAAAAAGTCTGCTATCGTCATTCAGTACCTCCCTTGGACTCCTTATACCTATCTAGAAATGAGTGTGACGACAGTGTGGCATGTGTCTCTAACACATGCATACCTGTTTAGTAAAAAAGAGGATAATCCCAGCATTTAGAAGGCAGAAGCAGGATTTTCTGTGATCCAGGCCAACAGAAGGAGATCCACCTCAAACACAGATCTGGATTATTCTACAGGATTTCTGTCTAAGACTTATGCCCAGATCGGCCTCATTACTCCACAGGTAATATTTCCAAGTACAGTGCCTCTTGATCATTAGGCTCTCAGGTTCTCCCTTGACACAGTCCACAGTGGTTATTCTTGTCAAATATGTTAATAGATAAATAGAAGTCACGTGATAATTACAGCAAAGCTGTTTACTTTTTTAAAATCCACTGTAATTAGGAAAAATCTTGCAGCACCTGCTTAAAACCAATTTAATAAACTTAATTGTGATTACAGATTAGAACTATTCTCCCATTTCCCTGGCTCCTGTTAGACAGACCCAATCTGAGATACAAACAACTGTGCAGAATGCTTTGGGTGTTACATGCTAAGTAGGGAAGCTACTGGAGCTATGGACTCAGGACTCAGGGAGAGCTTCTTTAGAACACACAAAGCTCTGGGTCTGATTCCTAGCACTGGGGAAAAAAGACAAAAAGAAAAACTTTAATCCAAGACCATTATCATGTAGATAATAAGTAGAAAACTACAATTATCCTCTTGGTATTACCTCAAGAACACCTTCTGCTAGGCTGCCCAAACATAAACTACTCCTAACACAGACCCACTCACTCCTACGGGCAAATCATGCTAGACAGGAAACTGGTGACAGAGGTGTTCAAGCTGATCTGCAAAAACGGATCCTTGTCAACTACAAATTTTCATTCACTTGCTTAGTGTCCATGGAGTTTATTAAGAGTAAAACCTGACTTCAAATAGGTGTGCTGGTGTTTGAATCTGACTTAAAAGCACCTTTTAATATCATATAGAAAATAATTAAGAATTACTCACCATCTTCAAAGGGTGTCCCTTCTGGTCTGAAAACAAGAAGATTTCCGATTAAAACAATTTTTTTTACTCTGCCTTTTCTGTCTTCAAGGAGGGAAGGATAAACTGGGAAACTAGAAAAGGCTGCAGTCATCCGGTTACCTGGAAAGCTGTACAAACTGTCACTTAGGCCAAAGTACAGTCTTAGCTTTTCAGTAATAGAGCAGAAATGACTTCCAATGTTCAAGTCCGTCCATCCACCCCCACCCCGCCAAGGATAATATTACTCAACAAAACTGTCTATGATTTTGCTCCGAAAAGAATAATACAGTGCAGTTAGGTCTCTGAGTTCAAGGTCAGCCTGGTCTACAGAATGAATTCCAGGACAATACAAAGAAACCGTTTCAAAAAACCAGAACCAAAAACTAAAAACAACAACAACACCCAAAACAACAGTATACAAGTGGACATTGTGCCACACACTTGTAATCCCAGATACCAGGAGACTGAAGGAGGAGGATGTCAAGTTTGAGGCCTGCCTGGCATACATGAATAGTGAGTATGAGCCCAGCCTGAGCAACTTGGCAAGACCCTGTCTCAAACTAGAATTTAAAAAAGGGATGGTATAACATACACAGAAAAAAAAAAAACAAAACAAAACTGGGTGTCACAGCCCAGGCTGGCTTGACCCTGCAGCAACCCCCCTGCCTCAGACTCCTGAGTGCTAGGATTAATAAGTATGAACTAGTACACCTAACTATTTTTGATTTTCTTGAGAGAAGGTCGTGCTAAATAGCCTAGGTTGGCTTTTGTGATCCTTCTGCCTCATCCTTCCAAGGTGTATGATTACAGATGACCGAACCAAGGCCTCAAGAATGCTAGGCAAACACTCCACCAACTGAGCTAAGTTCCCAGTCTGCCAGGAGGCTTTAAATGTAGACTCTTCTGCCAGGTGGCGGCGGCGCACACCTTTAATCCCAGCACTCGGGAGGCAGAGCCAGGCGGATATCTGTGAGTTCGAGGTCAGCCTGGTCTACAGAGCGAGATCCAGGACAGGCACCAAAACTACATGGAGAAACCCTGTCTTGAAAAAGCAAAAAGTAGACTCTTCTAAGCTGGCTCAGTGATTGAAACTCTTACAGGCATTCCCAGCACCCTCATCAGGCAGCGCACAACTTTAACTACGGCTTCAGAGCTAACTCCTCCATCTGCCTGTATTCAACAGCACCCCCTTCTAACCCGAAGGTTTTGGTTTTGGTTTTTTTGAGACAGGGTTTCTCTGTGTAGCCCTGGCTGGCCTTGAACTCACAGAAATCTGCCTGACTCTACCTCCTGAGTGCAGGGTTTAAAGACATGAGCCACCACCGCCGCGCCCAAACCCTAGTTATTAATCAATTCCCTAGACTGACTGTAAATACCACAGCCAGCTGTAGTGGCAAATTCCCACAATCTCATATATCAACAGACACACATAATCAAAAACAAATTTTTAAGTTTTAAATAAAAAAGGATATGCAGGTCTAGCAAGATGGTCCAGCAAGCATAAGTGCTTGCCACACTCTCCCTGGCACCCATGATGGACGGGAGAAGCGACTTACGGTTGCCATCTTCCCTTTACACTGAGTACTGGAGGTTACAGGCACCTACACTCACTCACAGTCACACGCACAGTCACATACACCCTCACACAAAGAAACAATAATAAACAAGAATTTAAGAAAGTATTAAGTATGGTGATCCTTGCCTGTGATTCCAGCACTGGGGAGCTTGAAGCAAGAGGATCCGAAGTTTGAGGACAATTTGGGAAATTCACGGAGATCTTTTTGCATTTTTGTTTTGTTTTTGTGAGACAGGGCCCCATTAGGCAGCCTGGACCTTATTCTCCAAGTGCTTAATCAAAGGGTTGCACCCCAACCCTTGTCAACAGTCCACCTCAAAATAAAATTTTAAAGGGGCTGAGTGTGGCTTGGCGATGGAACACCTGCCTGCAATGTGGAACAAGCTCCGGCTCCATCCCACCATCACCCCAAATAAACTACTTCCGTTCAGTACACAGACGATTTTTAGCTGAAATTCTTGTCACAGCAAAGTTCTCATTATTCTGGTCCCAAGCCTTTTTACAGCTCTGACAGCATGTACACAAGAACTTACTTGCATGGCACATTTTACATGAGATAATTTATTTCATCTTCTTTATTTAACTTAAAATATTTACTTATTTTTTAGTGCTGGGGATCAAACCCAGGGTCATATGCATGGTAGGCAAGCATTCTACCAATCAGCTTCAGTCAAAGCCTCTGAGCTCGAGTTTTTATCAATTACCTGGAGTGGCTGGAAAACCATAGTCCTACTCCCACAATCCCAAGTACTGGAGAGCCTAAAACAGGAGGATCCCTGCAGCCCAGTTCAAAATCACCCTGGGCAACATTTCAACATCCTGGCTCAAGTGAAAGAAAACCAAATAAAACTATATGTAACAGCAAGGAGCAAATCAATTTTATATAACTGTCCTAGACTCAATAAAATGTGTCAGGGGTTGGGTGTGCAGCTTAGTGGTGGAGCACCAGTGAGCAAGCACACATAGGGCCCTGGGTTCAATCCTCAGCTTCTCAAAAGCTTCACCGCCCCATCCAGGGAGCTTCAGATTCTACCTCCACCTCTTTCCTCAGTGCTTATATACTTACTTTTCTGGAGTCCCCACACACCTATCACCCGGTAACTATTTCAACTCACCCAAATATAACTGCGTTCCACTGCATGATGTTGTTTTCAGACGGTGCACCACTGACCCCCACAGGTGGGTCCTCCTGCAATCTAGAAATGCAGAGTGGTCATCTTCAGAGTTGAACATAAAGGTTAGTGAGGTCAAATTCTACTATTCTGAGAGAATGACTAGATGGACTGTCTTGTTATTGTTGGAGCTGGAATGAACCACATTAAATCAATCAACCAGGTTAACACAGTAATACTACAAGTGATCTCTAAGTCCAAAGGGCTGAGAGATCATCTCTCTTCAAACAGCAAAATTGAAGATACCGTCTCTTGAAGAACTCATGTTTTCAGACTGCACCCTTAACCCATTAAAGGTTTACAATCTCATCAGTAAAAACAACTGCTAGAGAACCAGCAACTTCTCTTGGGCAGTGGTAGCACAGGCCTTTAAACCCAGTGCTTGGGAGGCAGAGGCAGGTGGACATCTTGTGAGTTGGAGGCCAGCCTGGTCTACAGAGTGAATTCCAGGACAGGCAAGGCTACACAGAGAAACCATCTTGAAAAACAAAAACATAACGAAAGAGAGAACCTCCAACCTTTCTACCTTAATCATGCAAGGCTCACCAGTCCTAACCACAGACAATGCACAATACAAAAACGTAGTAAATCTCTGTATACTGTAAACGACTAAAACTCACATTCAATTTAATCAGAAAGCAAGTTTTACTTTATGCTCTGTGCTTCAGACAGTGGCTTTCCAAAGTGGCCAGAAGCTCCAGCTAGCTTTTCGGGCAGCCTCTATTTTAAAAGCCATTCGAAGGCTAGATCTACCTCTCAGACCAGGAGACTTTAGACAAAGCTTTGTAACCTGAAGACCCTTGGAAACCCACTAAAGGCATTGTGTCTTCAACTCAGAAGCAAGTACAGGAATTGCCAAACCGAACAAGCGGTAACAATGGATGTAACTGGGAAGATTTATGTGCATTTCAGTCTCAGAGCTAATCAAATATAGTGACTTCAGGCCTTGGGTGACTTTTGCACCAAAAAAGGGCATCCTTGCCTGTCAGATTAAAACAACAACAAAAAACCTCTCCATTTAACAGACAGAAATATGTTATTTCCAGGTGGTAGGGCATTTGGCAATCAGTCCACATAAGAAGTGTACTGTTTGGTCAACATCAAGCAGATTAGGCCACTGACAGGGCTGACAGGAACTACTTACTGCTTGTCCCCCCACTTTTTAGTGGCTAAAAGCCGCAACGAATGAATTAAACGATGAAGTTGTCCAGGGCGCAAGACAATGGCTTCCAAAGGCCTCACACAGGGCTCTATCATGGCCAAGTTAAGAGGTTACTTCCTGAGCGGCAAGTCTAAGTTTTTCTAATACAGATTTGTCTCAATCACGGTAGGTCTGCCCCAGAAAAGAAAACTTAAGAATATCTCAACGCTGGACTTCAGGTACTGTGCCTGCACTTGTACGTTTCCAAGGAAATGAAGAACTGGAAGAGGAGGGGAGAGGTCATTTTCTTCCTCCAAGCCCCGTACTTCCTAACAAACCCGTATTTTCCAAAAGGAGGCCCAGGTGGAGTATCAGATTAGCTCCCGGCTGAGGGAAGGCATTTTTCCAGGCTGGGGAGGCTATAGATAGGCCTTTATTCCGCGGCCAGATCACAGTTCCAGAAGGCACTGGCAGCACGGTGGCCATCTCCCGGTCCAGGTTTCCCGAGCCAGTTCTCAAGGTCCTTCCAGGTGGGCGGGGGCAGAGTCGGGTTTCGGGGGGATGGGCTAACTACCTCCGGACCTCGCGCAGCAGACCCCACCCTCATCGCTGCAGAAAGGCAAGGGACGTGGGACAGTGTTCACCCTCACCCGGCTCCAAAGCGGAGGCGGCGGGGCGCTGTAACAAAGCTGGACGGCTCGGCCCAGCGAGGCCCGAGCCTCAGGCGGAGCTCCCCTCGCACCGGCTGGGGAGGGGACGCCGCAGGGTGCAGAGGCGGGAGAGGCGGCGTCGGCAGCTGGCCTAGGGACACCTAGGCCCAGCGATGGCCACCTTCCTACTTTTGGTGTGGGGGGAGGGCAGGAGGCAGTACGACCGACCATCTTTACTCAATGGGAGGTACCAGGCAAGGGAGTGGGCGCCGCCGGTGAGCCGGGGCTGCCGCGGATGCCGCAGGCCCACAGTCCGCCTCCTCAGGGTCACCAGGGGGAAGATGTCCCGGATGCCCCTCCCTCCCTGCAGTCCCGCGGATTCGGGAAGGGGCCGTCATATTGGACCAAGGCGAGGGCCCTTACCGCTTGAAATCCCGCATGAGCCTCCTACGGGCCGGGGTCGACATGCTCCGCAGCTGCCCCGCGGTCAGTCTGAAAGAAAAGAGTCCCGTTCGGCCCCCCCACCCCCCGGCACAGCGGCCGAATCACTGTGGGTCGCCGCCGCCGCCGCCGCCGCCGCCGCCGCCGCCGAGACTGCACAAACAACCCTGCAATGACGTCTCCCTCCGCCGCCTCCGGATCCCTCCGCCCTCCGCCAGTACCACCGCGGGAGGAGGGGGGAAGGGGCGGGGCGAGCGGGCGCGCGCGCGCGGCCCCGGCCCGCGCAAGGGGGCCGGCTTCCGGGCCGGTTTCCTGCGGGGCGTCGCGGACGGGCCGCTGCCCGCTCACGCCCGACGCGGCAGGCCCCAGGCCGCCGCAGGCCCCGCTCTACCTTGCCTCTCCCCCCCCCCTCCCCGCCCCCCACGCCCGTCGCTAGTTTCAGATTCGGCCGGACGGGGAGAGACGGGCGCATCCGAAGCCTGAGATTTCAGGGAAAGGAGGTGTGTGTGGGGGGGGAAAGATGACGTCAGGTCACGTGACCGCCAGCGGCGGTGTCAACAATCCACCCCCTGACGGGGGAGGGAGCGAAGCCTCTAGAACCACGTGTCCCTGTGACGCCAGTAGAGCAGGTCACGTGACACGGCGCCGCCTGGCTCTCGGTTTTGGGTCTCACGAGGCAGGTCGTTGAGTTTAAGGGCTTGACACCTCGAGTCATACCTTGTCCTTTTGGTCCCAAGTACAGGGATTTAGCCTAAGGAGACGTTGTGGAAGGAGCCGCTTGCGTTCTAAGTCTTTAAAACGGAACAGAAAAAGAAATCTGGATTTAATTCCCTGTTTCAAGGGACTTAGCAACTCTGGGACGTGGGGCAGGTACTGAAAAGGTCGCGTAGACTTATAACGATAATAAACAGCGTTGAATGCTAAGGCCGGCGCCAATGAGGTGGGCTCGCGGGCATTGGGACCAGCAGCCTGTTCCTGCTGGTGGGATTTCTATACTTAGAGTCCATACGGAAATGAGAGTGGAATAAATTGTCCAAGCCTTAAAGACTGCACAGAACTAAGGAAATTGAAACCTGAATTTGCCTGCATTTGAGGCATAATTGCATTTCTAAAGAAATGTGGGGGTGTGATTTTAGAGCATATCAATGGGCTGCTGGTTGTCAAAGAAACCTACAAAATGATTCAGATGGGGGAGAGACCGTGCAGACATGAGTGGGAGGTATTTCTTGAGTCTGAGATAACTCTCGATAGGTTTTGGATAGTGGCAAGGATGGTGCAAAAGGACCGGAAGTGCCTGGTCGTTGGGTGGTGATGTGCAGCAGGTCCAGAAGCCTAGACCCTGCAGGCTCCTCCTTTTCCGAGGCACAGAATACTCGCCCTCAGCTTCTATCTTCAGTTGTGAGGATTTGTTAGTCTGGGGTACCGAACATTTTAGTAGACGCGGAATTCTTAGCTCTAGAAGGAGGAAGGGAATAGGAATCCACCTCTCCACTCCTGCCCATACATATTTCCTTGAAACCAGGAAGGGTTTACGTTTCCCACTGTCCTTATCCATCCTTCTTCAAACTCTGAATTCTCTTGATTTAAAAAGTAACCTCGAGGCCGGGCGGTGGTGGCGCACGCCTTTAATCCCAGCACTTGGGAGGCAGAGCCAGGCGGATCTCTGTGAGTTTGAGGCCAGCCTGGTCTCCAAAGCGAGTTCCAGGAAAGGCGCAAAGCTACACAGAGAAACCCTGTCTCGAAAAACCAAAAAAAAAAAAAAAAAAAAAGTAACCTCGAGGGGCTGGAGAGATGGCTCAGAGGTTAAGAGCACCGGCTGCTCTTCTAGAGGTTCTGAGTTAAATTCCCAGCAACCACATGGTGGCTCACAACCATCTGTAATGAGATCCGATGCCCTCTTCAGGCGGGCAGGCAGACATGCAAGCAGAACACTGTATACATAGTAAATAAATAAATCTTAAAAAAAAAAAAAAAAGTAACCTCGAGAACCCGACGTCTTGGTGCATTCTGCTAATCCCGCCATTCAGGTAGTGGAAAGGATCAGGAGTTCAAGAGAAGCCTTGATGACGGTGAAATGGTGGCCATCCTGGGCAGCCTGAGGCAGTCTCATCCTTCCACCCCCCCACCCCCACCCCCTTAACCCTCCTACCCCCCTGGAAAAAAAGTAACCTTGAGGATTGTTAGGTAAGTCTAACTCCCTAGCTGTTGCTGTGCACTCACAATGCGACTAAGTTAAAAGTTAAATAGTGGCTGGAGAGATGGCTCAGTGGTTAGAGCACAGGCTGTTCTTCCAGAGGGCCCAGGTTCAAATCCCAGCACCCGCATGGCAGCTCACAGCTGTCTGTAAACTCTAGTTCTAGGGGATCTGACAACCTCATACATACATGCAGGCAATACACCAATGTACATAAAATAAAAATAAAGAAAAAACTAAATAAATATTGAAGAAAAGTTAAATATTCTCACCTTTGAGTTTTTTCCCTCCTTGTTGAGGTATGCCATAGAACCCCAGGGCCTTTAAATTTGTATTGAGCGGGATGGATAGTACACAAGCAACCTCAGCACCAAACAGGCGGTGACAGCAGGATCGCAGATTCCACGCCACCTTGAGCTACACGGAGAGATACTGTCTCGGGAAAAACAGTGAGACAGACAGACTCCTTAAGTTCCCCAGGCTGGCCTTAACTCCCTCTGAGTAGCTGGCATAGGTAACAAGTGTCTTGCCTTTTTAAAAATTTGCCATCCAGCCATACCAGTCCTAATCTTCCACATGGTTAAGAAGGAAGGCAAACGTGGGGTTATATGCAGTGAAATGCTAAAGAGACTGTGTGTGTGTGTGTGTGTGTGTGTGTGTGTGTGTGTGTGTGTGTTTAAATCTCACTCTGTTGCTTATCTAGTAATTTATAACTTAGAACTGGATGGGATAGTTTGATTTTTCCAAAATGAAATGTTTTGACATACTCCATGTACTTCTTAAAGCATTAGAGGGCAGAATGTTAACAAAGTCTACATCATTTCTTGATTAGGAGGCTCGCTGGAAACCTACAACCATAGTCTTAGAACTTAATTTTTTTTTTTTTTTAAACAGGGTATGTGTAGCTCAGGCTGCCCTGGAACTTGCAATGTAGACCAGGCTGGCCTCAATCTCAAAGAGCTCTGTCTGCCTCTTTCCAAAGTACTGGGATTAAAATGGGCATCAGTGACTTTGTAGCTTTGTGAGTTAAGAGATGCCAGGAACTCAGTCTGGTTCATGCTTTGCTCCTTGCAAATATTTAGTTCATAACAAATAGTAAATAAACAGAGCATAGTATTGTAAGACTTGATTATGGCATTTCGTTTTTCAAGACAGTGTTTCTCTATGTAACTGCCCTGGCTGTCCTTGAACTTACTCTGCAAACCAGGCTGGCATTGATCTCAGAGATCCTCTTGCCTGCCTCCTGAGTGCTGGTACTAAAGGTATGCACTGCCACCACCTGGCTGACTTTTTTTTTGGGGGGGGGGAGACCAGGAAGGGACGGACCTGAGGACAATGACAGGGACACAAAACAAACCCAAACCAGGTACCCACTCCTCCTTACTCTCATGCTCCAAAATCCAAGCTCTAACAGGATAGACAGGATAGTAGTAAAATGAGATGCATCTAAACTGTTTTTTAAAAAAGCAAACTAGTTTCTCGTTTTTACATACACTACTCAGCACACTTCTTTGTGCACATTCATTTATTTTTGTGTGTGGGTCAGAGGACAAGTTGGAGGAGTTGGTTCTCTTTCCACCAAGCAGACCCAAGGGATTGGTCTCAAGTCGTCAGGCTTTATAGCCTTTTCCTACTGAGCTATCTTGTTGACCTAGTTACTACTATCACGGTTAAATCGGATCTCTAGAAGTGGAGCCATTTAAAAATCTCTTCGGGTTATTTAAATGTACATTCCGAAGTGCCCTTGTATATCACTCAATCCAGTGAATTATTTGCTTTCCTAAAAAGTGTTGCGTTTCACATGTATTGAGAAAAAAAAATTTTAAGGACTGCTAGGGCTGGGGGCACGGTGGCACATGCCTCAAAGCAGGCAGATGAACTCTTGGCCAGTCAGGGGACTATGCTGAGTTTGTGGCTTACCACTGAGCTATGCCCTCTGCCTAAGAACCATCTTGTCCCTGTTTACGGATCAATGTCGACTTTGAGGTCGAAATCAGGTGTATGGAATATTAATGTAGCGTTGGCAAACTGTAGTCACACGGGGCTTCTTTGGATCAGTTGTCTCTACTGACAACCTCTTTAGGACCGGGCACAAGCAGGTGACTAGCAGTCACCCTGGCGACTAAACGCTCTTCTTTCCCACTGCGCAGAAGGAGCCCTCGAGGGCGTTCAATCTGCGACAGAAAGCGCCCCCGCCCCACACTCTGCAAGCACGGGGGACTCCGGCACGTCCCCCCTCCCTCGCCCCGCCCCACTTACATCTAGCTTCCGCTTCGTGTCACTTTCCCTTCCGGGTCGGGACCCCAGCGATTTCCAGTCTTGCGTACCGCGGTTCGAACGGCCCCGGCCCCGCCCCTGCCCCGTTGCCAGGGCATCGGGCGGCCCAGAGCCGGCAAGGTCGGCCAGGAGAGGAGGCGTGGTGTCCCGTGGCCGGCTGGGACTTCGTGGAGCCGAGCCGCCGGGACTACAGGATGGGCTGAGGCGGCAGCGGCTCTCAGGACGAGGTTGACAGCGAGAGGCGCGACTCGGGTCGGGGTTGCTGAGACTGGGGGTTTGAGGAGAGGGAGGGATGCGTGGGCGACAGCAGTACCCAGATGGGGGTTCCCACGCTTGGTGGACCGGAGCCTGTAACAAGGGACCCGTAGTGTTTGTTAGTTTTTTGGTTTTTCAAGACAGGGTTTCTCTGTGTAACAGTCCTGGCTGTCCTAGAACTCACAGAGATCCACCTGATTCTGCCTCCCAAGTGCTGGGATTGAAGGCGTGTGTCACCACCGCCTGGCGTTGGTGGGACTTTTTAAACCTGGCTTTCGTTGTAGTTGCTGTTCTCTGAAAGGGGACCTCGTATTCTAAATCCCGTATTCTAAAAGGATTCCTGAATTAGGCGCGAATCAAATCTCCCTTTAATTCCTCAGTCTCCAAATGCCTGATTAATGCGGGACACTGTCCCCCTGTGAAAGCTTCTCCGACAACCCAAGAGTTCCCGCAAACAGGCTGTGCTATAGCCAGCTCTCCTAGTTTCTGTTCTTATATCTGAAAGTAGGGGTTATAGACTCTATACATTATCTAGCTTGAAAAATTTAAAGTATGAACTTTTAACATTTTCTTTCTTTCTGTGAAGCAGAAGCCAGGCTTGAAAATGGAGATGTATGAAACTCTTGGAAAAGTGGGAGAGGGAAGTTACGGAACGGTCATGAAATGCAAACACAAGGATACTGGGCGGATAGTGGCCATTAAGATATTCTATGAGAAACCAGAAAAATCTGTCAACAAAATTGCAACGAGAGAAATAAAGTTTCTAAAGGTTTGTTTCTTTTGCCTTTTATTATATATATTTATATTTTTAATTTTTAATTTTTTTTTTCCACTGGTACTCCACTATGAAGCCCAGGCTGGCCTGGAACACTTATTTTTTTCCAGTGCTGAGATTACAGGCTACATTACAACCCTGGGCTTCTTTTGCCCTGATTGTGTAAGTCAAGAGAGAAATTGTTATAGAAGAATAGAAACAAAATGTATGAAAGGACATTTCCATTAACAGATATACTAAGACCTGCGTAGAGAAATCCTCATTGTCAACAGTTCCTAATTTTTTTAGTGATAAAAGATCTGTGTGCTTGTGTATAACAGAATTATGATAATATTGTGAAGTCACTCAAAACTACTCAAGTTATAATAACTAAAGAGGTCCACTTTGTACAGGGGATTGTGGAAGAAGGTAAGAGTAGAAAGAAGTAAAAATTTGTTCCTTAATGACTAGGCAGGAGGGCATATAAAAATAATCCTGAATAAGAGTGACTCACGCTGGGCCAGAGAGATGGCTCTGTGGTTAAGAGCGCTTACTGCTCTTGTAGAGGGCTGGAGTCCGTTCCCAGGACACGCAGTGGGAGGTTCACAACTGCCTGTAATTCCAGCTCTCAGGGGTCCTACACCCACTTCTGGCCTCCAGGGACACCTGCAAGTTTGTGTGCATAACCACATACCCACACAGTTGTTTTTTTAAATGATTAATATTAAATTCCACAAATTTCTGTTTGGCAGGGTAGGTTTTTTGCAGAAAGTATGGTACGTTCTTGTCCTTGAAGGATGTGTAGAATTTGGGTAAAGTGGAACTCCTGCTGAGTTCCAGGTTAGTGGAACAGCATTAGCTCACAAAGACTAAAACAGAGCAAGAGTGGAAAGGAAAAGAACAGATATTGCCTATGAATTTCTTGTATAGAATTAGAAAGAGGTGTGATTAATGCAGTAAATTTGAAGTAGATTTTTAAAGCGTTTTAGGTTAAGAAGTCAAAACTTGGTTTGGGGGCTTGATTTGTTGTGGTTCAGTTGGTAAAGTGCTGGTTAAGCATGCATGAAGCCCTGGGTTTGATCCCCAGAACCACATAAAACTGAGTGTATGCAATCCTGTCGCCATCCTCTGCCCTGTATTGAGTTCCAAGCCAGCTTGGGATACATGACAGCTTGTCTCAAAAGCACAAACCTGATTGTAGAGAGAGGTTTTTCCGGTCCTGCCTGGCCCTTCGATCGGACGAATCTCTCCCACTTGCATCCCTCAGCTACTTGGTCCCAAGTAAACACACAGAGGCTTATATTACTTACAAACTGTATGGTCTATGGGTCAGGCTCCTTGCTAGCTAGCTCCTATAACTTAACTCAACCCATTTCTTTTAGTCTATATGTTGCCACGTGGCCATGGCATTACCAGTCTGTGGGCATCTTGTTGCTCCTTGGGCAGCGAGCTGGCGTCTCCTCTGACTCCGCCCTTCTTCATCTTGTCTTCAGTTTGAGTGTACCGCCTAACCTTGTCCTGCCCTGCCATAGGCCAATAGAGCTTTATTTATCAACCATCAGAGCAACACATATTCACAGCATACAAAAAGACATCCTGTAGCATCTGATTTTTTAAGAGCTGGAAAGTGAAGGTCGAGTTCATTGTAAAGAATCCCTGTTAAGTATTAATCTCCAGTGCTCTGTAGAATGTATCAGAAGACTGAAATCTAAAAGGGTCTGATGAGAATTTAATTCAGGAGTCCTGCTATGATATCACGAGTCCTCTTTTAGAATTCAGCAGTATAAATGGTATATAGAAAGGAGTCAGACGCCTTTGAAGTTCCGAGAAAGTTGGTGTAAGTTGGAAGAGCAATTGAGAACTAGTTCAGTTTTGGGATGTTGTCTTGGAGATGATGGGAATATTTAACTAGAGACTGTTAGGCTTCTGAAAACAGCGACAGTATCAGGAGAGACCAGGGCACTGCAGGTGTGGTAGACAAAGAACTGAGGAGGTGAAAGGGAGGTGAACATTCCTTGGGTCCAAAACTGGAGCCTGCAAACATTGCCTCCTAATACAGATGTTCTATTTTACTGGAATCTAGGTGCTGTAAGGGTTCTCTCCTTGACAGTGGAGTTCAGATGTTTTATATGTGATGAAGAATACTTGAACTATTCTTGCCCATCTTTATCTGGTATAGAAGAAGCATTTTCTTTCTTTTTGGTGTTTGAAACAGGGTTTCTCTGTGTAGCCTTGGCTGTCCTGAATCTCACTCTGTAGAACAGGCCAGCCTCAAACTCACAGAGATCCACCTACCTCTGCCTCCCTGGTGCTGGGATTACAGGCATGCACCACCACTGCCCAGCTGTTGTTTGTCTTTTAAGACAGGGTCTCACTGTATAGTCCTAGCTGCCCTGAAACTTCCTATGTAGAACAGACTAACCTCTAACTTACGGAGAGAGATCTGCCTACTTCTGCCTCATGAGTGTTGGAATTAAAGACCTGTGACACCATTACTAAGACACTTTACTCTCACCGACTTAGTTGGGATGTCCCAGCTGCTTTCCCTCTCTCCCTGCCTTTCTTCCTTTAAAACATTTTTGTTGGGGGCAGGGAGCGGGCTTTCATGACAGGGTTTCACTGTATAACATCCCTTACTGTCCTGGATCTCGCTCTGTAGACCAGGCTGACTTAGAACTCACAGAGATCCCCCTGCCTCTGCCTTCCCAGTGCTGGAATTAAAGGCATGCCCACCACTGCACACCATCACTGTGCCCAGCTACAATGGTTTTTAGACTTAAAGATTTTCATTTCATGTCTATGGGTGTTTTGTCTGTGTGTTTGTGCTGTGTTGGTGCAGTGCCCACAGGGGACAGAAGAGGGTGTCATACTACCTGGAACTGGAGTTACAGAGCTGTGAGCCTGAGGGTTCAGGACCAGAGCCCTAGGGGCTGGAGAGTTGACTTAGCAGTTAAGGGTACTTGTTGCTCTTCCAGAGGACCTGGGTTCAATTCCTAGAGCCCACATGGTGGGATTTGATTTTCTCTTCTGACCTCCCTGGGCACCTGCATGCATCTGTGTATAGACATTACATGCAGGTACACTCATACATAAAATAGTAAAATAAATCTAAAAGAACTAGAGTCCTCTGGAAGATCAGCCAGTTCTATTAATTGCTATTTCATCTCATTGTATACCTCAGGCTGGCCTCAAACTCCTCCTCATTCTGCTTCAGCCTCTGGAGTCCTGGGGTTACAGGCACATGCCACCACATACCACTTTTCAACTTAACATAATCTAATAGGAGATTTCTTGCATTTGTTAATATTCTTAACCTAAAATGATAATTCATTTTTAACTAAATTTTCATGGTAGACTCTGATTACCAACAGAGCAGTTAGATTATCTGTGGAAAGATTGTCTAGTAATGGAGAAAAATATAATTAAATACATTAAAAAAGAAGTTCCTGCTGTTTTTGTTGGCTCCTTACTGCCTCCTAAAGACTAAGGTCTGGAGAGATGGCTCAGCTGTTAAGAGCACTTCTTTCACAGATGGCTCTGTGACTCCAGTTCCAGGGATGAGCACCAGGCACACACATGTGTACAGACAGGCATGCAGATCAGACACCTGTACACATAAACAAACCTATCAAAACTATAAAATGAAGACCAGACAAAGCCAGTCATGTTCCCTAGCTGGGACGATCTTTTGGTGTCCGAAAGCACTCACCCTTCACTGTCCCTTTGCGGCTGCCAGTGTTCTGTTGCTGCAGCACTGCACCAGGGCAACTGCGGATCAGGGAAGTTGAGAGCAAACAGAGGAAAGGAACCTGGCATTGCCTTTTGGCAAAAATTTCTACCAGTCATGTTTCAAGGATTTTAGTTTCTGTTAGTCACAGGAAAGTGGAAAACCTGACATTATACCACTAGAATAAAAGCATTTAAAAAAAAGTTACAGTTTGCTAGTGAATCTAATAATGAAAATGCACTCATTTTTATCCAAATTTAGAAATATTTTTGTTAATTTAAAAAAGCAGTTCAATATTTCAGAGTTGATTGTAGTAAGGACAATAGTAGCTTATTGTGCATAAAATGTTAAGCTTCATTTGTGTCCTACACTGATACATGGTAATTATTTAAAAGCATTTGTTTTGTGTATGTGTTTGTGTGAAGTGCACGTGTACCTGGATGTCAGAGGTCCATGTTGGGTGTCCGCCTCTTACCACTCTCTACCTCATTTTCTGAAACAGAATCTGTCATTGAATGTGAAGCCAACAATTGAGCTAGGAATGGCCAAGCAGTGAGCTGCCCCTCCATCCAGCCATCTTCACCTCATTCAGTGCTAGTTACAGGCACTCACTGCTGTGTCTGGCTTATCTGTGGTTCTGGGGATTGAACTCGGCCATCTTCCCAGCTCCTTAGAACTGTTTTTGACCATGGTTGTTGATAGGAGTACAAAAAGGATTTTCGTTTTCTTTCTTAAATGACTTACCTAATTTTTGTTTGGATGAAATAAAGAGCTCACTGTGTTGCCCAGGCTGGCCTCAGATTTATCTTCCTGTCTCAGCCTCCCAAGTAGCTGAGACAAAGGATGTTTTGTGGTTTAGTAGAATTGTAGAATAGACAATGAATAAAAATACCATAAATATTTGCATATTTATGTCATTTCCGTGGTTATAAATTATTTCACATATTTGAAGTTTTTAAAAACATTTTGATTCTTTTGAATTAATAAATGACCCCTAGAACTTATGGTTTATTCGCTAGAGTTTAAGACCAAAATTAGAGAGTACGTTGTGTAAATGTATAGCACATGCTTAAAATGATGTTTGACAGCACTCGGGAGGCAGAGCCAGGCGGATCTCTGTGAGTTCGAGGCCAGCCTGGGCTACCAAGTGAGTTCCAGGAAAGGCGCAAAGCTACACAGAGAAACCCTGTCTCGAAAAACCAAAAAAAAAATGATGTTTGAAATATATGCTTGGGCTGGAGAGATGGCTCAATGGTTAAGAGCAATTGTTCTTACAGAAAACCCAGGTTTGCTTCCTAGCACTCACATGGTGGTTCACAGCCATCCTTAACTCCAGTTCCAGGGGATCTGACATCATCCTCTTCTGACCTCTGGGTGCAAGGCATGCACATGGTGCACATATATACATGTAGACCAACACTCATACATACATTTTTAAAAAATGTGAAAATTCATGCTCATTTGAAAACATGAGGACCTTAGGGGCTAGATATCTTCAGCTCAGCCTGTAAGAAGATCTCAAGTTCAGTTTCCAGAAAACAAAACAAAGTGCAAATTGAATATGGTGGCTTATATCTTTAATCTCAGCACCCAGTACTCCAGAAACTGAGACAGAAAGGTTGTGAGTTCTGGTCTAGCCTGGGATACTATAGCAAGCCTTTGTCTCTGAAAATCGAAGTAAGAACAACAGCTACAAAAATAACAAGCATGAATTAAGGTTCATTTTATTTTATTGATTGATTTTTCTTTGTTTTGTTTTGAGACTCTGCCTAGCCTGGAACTCCCTATGTAGACATTGAACTCAGGGATTGGCCTGCCTCTGCCTTCCAGGTACTGGGATTAAAGGCTCATACCACCATGCCTGGCCCATGAAGTCCTCTTAAATTGTTAAGTACAAACCAAATTAAAAGATAGCAAAAATATTTCTTATTGCATTGTGGTATATTAGTTCTAAATTATTTTAATAAACAATCATATCAACATGTCTCATCTTTACAGAGAGCAGGAAATCACTTACAGTAATTAGTACACATTAAGAATGTGACAGACCACTTGAGACATTTCTGTTGAAAGAAAAGAAGTTGAAACTTCCTTCAAATTATATAGGTGTTTGAATGAATTACTGTTTGAAACAGTTTTATTTAAAACTCTGTTTCTTTTGTTAATAGCAATTTCGGCATGAAAACCTGGTCAATCTGATTGAAGTTTTTAGACAAAAAAAGAAAATTCATTTGGTATTTGAATTTATTGACCACACAGTCTTAGATGAGTTACAGCATTACTGTCACGGACTAGAGAGTAAGCGACTGAGAAAGTACTTGTTCCAGATTCTTCGAGCAATTGAGTATCTTCACAATAATAATGTAAGTGCTTCAGAGACAGAGCCCAGCTGGGACGGGTGTGACTCACAAGTGCCATTTGAATAGTTCTATTTTTATGAAGCTTGTTAAGATTTTTCTCTATAATACTAGTAGACTTTCTGAAAATGTGAAGGGGGAGATTGCCTTTCAGTTTATTTGCAGAACCCCAAAGCTTTTATTTAGTACTTAGTGATTGTAATGACAAGGTAGACTGAGTCTGAGGTACTGTCAGTTTTCCATAAGCTGTGACCAAAACTACTGCGAGGCCAACTTAAAGGGAGGACTTACTGTTTGGCCTCATGATTTCAGAGGTTTCAGCTCATAATTCTCTTTGAGTATCATGGCTGCAGGGGCATGAGACTGTGCTTGTCTCGTGGTAGACAAGGAACAGAAAGAGAAAGGGTCCCAGACAAGGTATATTCCCTCAAGGTCATGCCCTGGTGACCCACTTCTAGCTAGACACCCTCCTGAAGTTTCCCGAGCCACCACCAACAGCAGCAGCAGCGGGGATATACCCTCCCATGAGCCTTTTCGAAGGGGACACTTCACATCCAGTCAGTGGCAGATGCTAAAAGCAGCGTCAATGAAGAACTTGAGAAATGCCTCAGAATGTTGAAAGTCAGAGCTGTGCTTTCATGGAAGAGTCCTTTCAATGAAGGGAGGTTTGGGGTCTGGGTGGATACTAGGAAAGAGAATGGCAAGTCAGTGGGTGGATGCCTTTAGGAGAAGAAGGCAGAGCAAAGTGTCCATCACTCAGTCTGTAAATATAGATAGATAGATAGATAGATAGATAGATAGATAGATAGATAGATAGATAGATAGATATAGATATAGACATAGAAAAAAACCCCAACTCTTCTGATTACTATTTTAGTACTGACTTCAGTAGTATTTAAGTAGTAATGTAGCACATCAGTTTTTTTGAGACACAACTTCTATGTAGTCCTGCCTGTCCTGAAACCTGCTGTGTAGACCAGGCTGGCCTTGAACTCAGAGAGATCCTCCTGCCTCCGCCTCCTGAATGCTGGGATCAAAGACATATGCCACCAAAGCTCAGCCTAGCTCAGCAGTATTTTGTGGCACTTTTTTTTTTTTTTTTCAGATGGCTGTACTTTCTGGAAAGTACATATAGTCAGGAAATAGCAATAAATTAAATGTCCAGGAAAAAATCATAAAATCCTCAAAAAATAGTTTTTTTTTGTTTTTTGAAACAAGGTTCTCAGTGGGTAGTCCAAGCTAATGCCAAACTCACTATGTATTCCAGCCTAGCCCTAAGTTCTAGGTCTTTCTGCCTTAGACTTTAGCATACAGGGATCATAGTGCAAGCTGCTGGTTTGCATTTCAGAGATCATTTTGTTACGTAGTTGATACTGGTATAGCTGATTTCTCGGATGGTTTCTACTGCTTCAATTTGCTAATAATGCTGCATATTTCATGGCTTTAAAAAAATTGTGATAGCAATTGGAGTTCACATGGTGATGTCCTTGCTAGCTAGATCTGAGAGGAGGCAGTTATGAGGTCATCAGGATCATATAGAGCTGGGCATGTGGTGCACACTTGCACTCAGCTGGCCAAGGCAGGAGGATCACTGCAAGTGCAGGCCAGCAGACTCTGTGACAAGACCTTGTCTCATGAAACAGCATATACAGTCTTAAATCACACTAACCAATGTTTTCACCACACGTTATCTCTGAAAACCTACGTGATTTGTGGAACCAGAGCTGACAGCTTCATGATTCCATACCCTGGAGATTTAATGTTCTTTGTTCCACTTGTTTGTTTTGAGAAAATGTCTCTCACATAGTTCTGACTGTCCTAGAACTCACTCTGCAGACCAGGCTGGCCTTGAACTCACAGATCTGCCAGCCTCTGCTTCCTAAGTGCTGGGACTGAAGGCCAACACCAGCACACTTGTCAAGACTTAACCTTTTAAGCTTCCCTTTCCTGTTTGTAAAGTACATGACTTTACCTCACTGACTTTAAAATACCAAATAACCAGCCAGGTGGTGCTTGTGCGTGCCTTTAATCCCAGCACTCAGGAGGCAGAGGCAGGTGGATCTCTGAGTTCAAGGCCAGCCTGGTCTACAGAGTAAGTTCCAGGACAGCCAGGACTACACAGAGAAAACCTTGTCTTGAAAAACCCAAAATAAATAAATAAATAAATAAATAAATAAATAAATAAATAAATAAATAAATAAATAAATAAAAACAACAAAATAGGCTGTAGCTAGAATGTGCGCACCCCCCTTCACAACACACTCCAGGCAAACTGAAAGTGTAATGCATGGTGTCTCCAGGAAGTGTGAGACAAACAAACAGTAGAAGTTTGAGGATGAGGTAAAGTAAGTTGGATTGAAATGTAGCTAGGAATTCATTAGAGAAGTGTGCACAGGTTGCTACTGAACGATGGAAGTCGACCTGAGCAGGGGACTTAAGACTCGAGTGCCGATAAATCAGGGAGGAGGAGACAGGATTGCACAGTTTCCCTGGACAGGGTTTGCTCCAGAGCACACACACGTGCATACAAAACAAATGAAATAAACATTTTCAAAGTCACAAGGAACAGTGAAGATGGCCCAGTGGGTAGCAGCACTTGCTGCCAAGGCTGACACACAACTCCTGATGTCCTCTCACACACTGGCACACAGGCACCCTTCCACACACAGACTCACTGAAAAAGGAGTGTCATGGTGCTCTCCTTTAATCCCAGTGCTCTGGAGGCAGAGGCAGGCGGACCTCAGCCTGGTCTGTATAGCTAGTTTCAGGACAGCCAGCACTTCACGTGAGACCCTGTCTCAGAAAACAAAAGAATGTCATAATGAGACCCACTATTTCATACAAGTGCTATATGCTCACAAAAAAGGAATAAATGAGTAAGCTGATTTAAAGGCTGTTCAAGTACAGTGTTGGCATCTTGGAAATACATCTACTGAGTTACTGTGTGCTGTTTCCTGATTTTTTTTTTTGCATGCCCCTAAGTTTTTGTTGAAAACAGGATATTTAAAATAATGTGGCAATTACAGAAACCAGAGTTTTCCATCCCTCTCTGGGCTTAATCCCCCACCCTACACACATCCCTGCTTAAGTAGGTGTGGCTGGTCTGGAACTCATTATGATGATCAGGTGGCCTCTCATTTGCTGAGATTCTCCTGCCTCTGTGTTTCCAAGTGCTGGCATGATAGGAAGGTGTGAGTCACCAGACCCACTCTGCCTGGGTTTTTTTCAGGTTAATTTTCCTGCACTTTAAAGTTCTTTTTAAAAAATTTTTATTTATATTTTAGGTATGAGTGTCCTGCATGTATACCTTTATGCCGGAAGGGGACATCAGATCCTATTACAGATGGTTGTGAAGCACCATGTGGGTGCTGGGAATTGAACCCAGGTCCTCTGGAGGAGCACCAGCACTCTTAACCTCTGAGCCATCTCTCCAGACCCCACTTTAAAGTCCTGAGTCTGCAGTCTTCATCATGTCTACTCAGTTCAGTGGTCAGCTAATGAGTGGACGGGGTTTTTAAGTTAGCTTGCTTCCTTTTACTTAGTCCCAATGTCTACTCTCAGCTCCAGGAAGCTGATAACCAGTTTTGTGCTTATAGATAGGCTTTTGTTGAAAATTTCTTATAAATAAAACCACACAGTGAGCAGTCTTGCACATGTCTTCCTTCACCTTAGTCCAGAGTCCAGAGTCATCTTTGTTGGGATGTATATTGGTGCTTTGTTCTGTTTAGATGCTGAGTGCTACTCTGCCGTGTGGATACAGCATACACCAGCTGGTGGTCTTTTAGCTTGTTTCCAGCTCAGGCTTTCTGAATAATATTGCCGTCAGCAGCTTTGTTTTATTTACGTTGGTGGTGGTGGTTGTTTTAAAGAAACTGCCACTGGGCGGTGTTGGCGCATGTCATACCACCAACACTCAGCGCTCAGGAGACAGAGGTAGGCAGATCTCTGTGAGTTTGAGGCCAGCCTGGTCTACAAAGAATTCTAAAGAAACTCTGTCTTGAGGGGGAGAAGAAAAGGAAAGAAAGAAGGAAACTGCCCAGCTGTTTTCCAAAGTGGCGGTATCTATCGTTTGGGTTTTGGTGCTGGAGCTCTGGCCCACAGTCCTGTGCATGCTGAGCGGGGACTGTCCCCAGCCCTGTGATCGTCACTTTTATTGTAGCTAGTGTAGTAGCTACAATGGCAAAGTATACTGTCTTTATTCACAGATAACATGTTCATTTACATAGAATATTCCCAAAACAAAATTTTCTGGATTGTAGGATACAAGATGAACATTCCTATATTCCTAAATCCGTTGTTTTACTTCCTCCTCTCTCCCCTCCCCTTCCCTCCCCTCTCCTTCCCTTCCTTCCTTTTTTTTTTTTTTTCCAAGACTTGATTTCTCTGTGTAGCCCTGGCTGTCTTGGAACTTGCTCTGTAGACCAGGCTGGCCTCAAACTCAGAGACTCTGCTGCCTCTGCCTCCCAGGTACTGGGATTAAAGGTATGTGCCACCACTGCCTGGCTGTTTTTCTATACATTAGCAACAAATAATCAGAATTTTTAGGGTACGATTATGGCCTGGTAATGTCAATTAATTGATGGAGTGCTTGCATGTGCTTGGTTTGATTCCCCCCCAACACCATATAAAACTGAGTGTGGTGGCACACTCCTGAAATCCCAGCACTTGGGAGGTGGAGACTGGAGAATCAGAAATTCAACGTAACCTTGACTGCATAGTGGATGGAATACCCTGCCTGAAATAAAATAAAATGCCATTTATAACATCAAAATATTTTATAACCTAAGAAACACTCGACAAAAGATGTGTGAGATCTGTACATTGAAAAGTAAACCTTGGGATTAGCCTATAGAAAAATGTCTGCCGTAAATCAAACAGTGAAGGGGAAGATGAATAGGAATCTCACTTATACAACTTAAGTAAAACATAACTCTCTGAACAGGTGAAGATAGGTTTCTTCTGTATCCAAGAATCTAATCAATATTTATATGTATAATTCAGCTATCATTTGGCTTAAAAGGGCTTATTGGGAAATGTTACCATTTTCACTATTTTCTACAGAGAAAATATTTTACTGTTTAAAATAACCCTGGACTTTTGAATTATAACCTGTTTTTATGTTCAAAAAGAAAAAAGAAAAGTAAACATTGTAGAGAAATACTAAAGATAGTCTAACCAAACGGAAAGAGACAATTTTTAAAGGACTGTCAATGTGACAATGACAGACCAAAGTTTCTAAAGTCCATGAACCACATTCAAAGTCAACTCAAGATAGACTGAAGACTTAAAGGTGAGGCTAATGCTGAAACAGTTCTGTGACGCTATGGGGCAAAGATTCTCTCTCTCTCTCTCTCTTTCTTTCTCTCTTTCTCTCTCTCTCTCTCTCTCTCTCTCTCTCTCTCTCTCTCTCTCTCTCTCTCTGCCTCCCTCCCTTCCTCCCTCTCCTCTCCCTTTTCTTCTTTCCTCCTCTCCCTTTCCCCTCACTTCCTCTCTTTCCTCCCCACTTCTTTCTTTCTTTGTGAGATAAACTCAAAGCACATGTAGTAAAAGCAAAAATAGACAATGAAAGAAGATGAGACCAAGCTGAAAAGCTTGTTTGTAGCCAAGGGAAAAATGTATGGCATGAAGAAACAGCTTCCAGAATGGGAGAAAAATGGAAACAATAAAGAACTCAAATAACTCAGTGTAAGTAAACAGAATGATTAAAAATGAGCAAAGGAAAGCCGCATTTTGAAGTAGACCAGGTATATGGAGGTAGACAGGTATATGAAGGTGGACAGGTATATGAAGGTGGACAGGTATATGAAGGTGGACAGGTATATGAAGGTAGACAGGTATATGAAGGTGGACAGGTATATGAAGGTGGACAGGTATATGAAGGTGGACAGGTATATGAAGGTGGACAGGTATATGAAGGTAGACAGGTATGGGAAGGTGGACAGGTATATGAAGGTAGACAGGTATATGAAGGTGGACAGGTATATGAAGGTGGACAGGTATGGGAAGGTGGACAGGTATGTGAAGGTGGACAGGTATATGAAGGTGGACAGGTATATGAAGGTGGACAGGTATATGAAGGTAGACAGGTATATGAAGGTGGACAGGTATATGAAGGTGGACAGGAATATGAAGGTGGACAGGAATATGAAGGTAGACAGGTATATGAAGGTAGGAATATGAAGAAATGTTCAAAATCTGTCATTATCAAAGAAATGTAGATTAAAACGATGGAAGTCACTGCCCGAATGGTGATTTCAAAGGCAGAAATTAGAATGTGGAGGGAAGGAAACCTCTGCAGACTGCAGGTATGGGAAGGTGGACAGGTATATGAAGGTAGACAGGTATATGAAGGTGGACAGGTATATGAAGGTGGACAGGTATGGGAAGGTGGACAGGTATGTGAAGGTGGACAGGTATATGAAGGTGGACAGGTATATGAAGGTGGACAGGTATATGAAGGTAGACAGGTATATGAAGGTGGTAGTATACATTACTTGGACATTATGGGGAACGGTCTGCAGGGTCCTCAGTAATTTAAGCTAGAACTGTGGGTAAGCCAGTGGTCTCACTACTGGGCATGTATGCAAACAAAACGAGTTTGTCTGAGATAGCTGCAAGTCTGCATTCCCAGAGCATCATTCACAGTAGGCAGAGAGTGTTGCCATTAGTCTAAGTGTCCAAGCATAGATGAATGGGCCCAGAAAATACAGCAAAGAAAATTTGATGTACATAGAGTACTGAGACTTGGTGATAGGGCACAACACTTACGTGGGTAAGTTGAGGATATTATGTTACATGTAAAATCTAAAAAAGGAGGCTAAGAGAAAGATTTCTGTCAAGGTTACCAAGTTTCAGATAGGGGTAAGTTCAAGAGGTTTTTTTTTTTTTTACAACATGGTAACTATAGTTAGTGGCTATTGTGTTATTAAAATTGCTGAGAGTAGACTTTAAGGTTCTTTTTGCAAAAATGACAAGAGGTAAGAGGTTAGTCAGTCTAATTTAGTTATTCCTTGGTGGATTTTTTGGTTTTTGCTCTTTTTTTTTTTGAGACAAAGTATCTCTCTTTTAGTTTTGACTATCCTGGAACTCACTATGTAGACCAGGATGGCCCCTAACTCACAATGATCCTCCTGTCTCAACCTCCCAAGTGCTAGGATTAAAGGCATGTGCCACCATGCCCAGCTTTGTTGGTATATTTTAATAAAAAGATTTAATAAAATGTATGCAATTAATATATATCTATGTCAGTTAAAGCATTTTCTTATTCTTTAAAAAAATTACTAAAAATTACTAGAAAGTGCTGGAACTGAAATGGATCAGTCAGTAGGTGGGAAGAAACACATGGGTTTGTGATCTCCAGAACCAAGTGATGAAAACGGTCCACGGGTAGAGACAGAGAGAGCTGAGGATGATCGTGTGCCTGTGATCCTGGAAGACCAGGAGTGAAAAGTTAATACTTGCCTACATAGTGAGTTGAAGGATAGACTGGACTCCATGAGACCCTGCTTTAAAACAAAACAACAGAAAATCAGGGTGGAGGGCAGAAGGAGGGAGAGAGAGAAGAGCATGGTGTTTGAGAAAGGAAAGTGGGAGACAGTCCTACATTTAAGGGACAGAGAAAGGAACTTCTAGGCCAAGAAAAGACTTTTTGGTCCCAGGACTGCAGAATAGAGGAGTATTTGGTAACATCCTTATACTAAGAAATCAGTGAGGTAAAGGACTGAGAGGTGTCCATCAATGTGCCAATAGCATTGATGACTTTGTCCAGGGCAGTTGAACACAGCATGGGAAGCAGAGGATGGGTTAGTATACAGTATTCTTGCAGAGCATTGGCTGTGAAGACAGTGGATACGAACTGGGTCAAAGGAAAGTTGAACTTTTTTTCACTAGGTCCCTTTGATCTTAGAGTGTGACTTATGTAGCAGGCTTTCTTGGACTGCCAGCCCCCAGATCATGACACAGAGACTTACTATTAATTATGAATGCCCGGCCTTAGCTTAGACTTGTCCCACTAACTCTTATAACTTAATTTAACCTGTTTCTCTTCACCTACATTTTGCCTCAGGGCTTTTTACCTTTTTCTCATTCTGTATGTCCTGCTTTTCCTGCTTTTTCTGTGGCTGGCTGGCTGGCGCTAGGTGGCTCCCTCCCTTTTCTCTCTTGTTTTCTCCTTTTCCTTCACGAGCCTAGGTTCCTCCTCCTACTTACTATCTCTGCCCTCCAGCTCCACCTATCCCTCTACTGCCTAGCTATTGGCCATTCAGCTTTTTATTAGACCAGTCAGGTGCCTTAGGCAGGCAAGGTAAAACAGCAACACATCTTTACATAATTAAATAAATACAGCATTAAAAAATGTAGCACATCTTTACATAGTTAAAGTAATATTCCACAACAGATTTACCTTTCAGTGTCTGTTTTGGCTTCATTCCATGTGGAAGTGATGGATGGAGAATATGTAACATTTTACCTGTGATTAGGAAATGTCTTCTCTGTCTTAGCTGTGAGTTAGACTTTTCTCTGAATAGTTTTTGATTCTGTATAAAAGGAAACCCTGTTTTAATATATTACATTTTCTGTTTGTTTTTAGATTATCCATCGAGATATAAAGCCTGAAAATATTTTAGTCTCCCAGTCAGGAATTACTAAACTCTGTGATTTTGGGTTTGCAAGGACACTAGCGGCTCCTGGGGATGTGTACACAGACTATGTGGCCACACGCTGGTACAGAGCTCCAGAACTGGTGTTAAAAGACACCTCTTATGGAAAGTATGTATACTTTGGGGACCTGCCTGGCTTCTTCTGGGTGTGTCATTTTTCCTCTACTCCTGACACTCCGCCATCTGTGTCTGGCTTTGGTCAAGGAACAGGGACACCTTTGAAGGTACCCGGAAGACGCTGTGGGCACCGTGCTGACGCTAGAGGGTTTAATGGCTGCAGCAACTGCTGGAGGCCTGTGCACATGTCCTCACACTGTGTCCAGGCTTGCTCCAGTAGTCTGTGCCACACCTCTGCAGGGCTGTCTCCTCTGTTGATGTTCTGCAACGGTTAAATGATTTATATTTCATTTATTTATGGGCTAGGGCCCATGGCATGCATGTGGGGGTCAGAGGACAACTTGCAGGATCAGTTCCTCCCAACTATGTGGGTCCCTGGGATCCAGCTCAGGTTTCAGACCCAGTGGCCGGTACCTTTGCCTGCTGAGCCATCTTGACAGCCTGTCCAAAGACTCTCCAATCATTTAGCGTAATTCTGTGTTTGATGGAAATTCCTGTTTGATGGAAAAAGTGATGTCTTCCTTATAAAGACTGAAAGTAATGTTTTTTTAAAAACTGTGTTCTAGATGGCTCAAAAAGGAGCACAGTCTCACCATTAGTGAATATTCTACAGTGAAAACTTGTAAATAACACCACTTAAACATTATCTCCCCACCCCCCACTGGTTTTGAGACAGGGCCTCACTGTGTAGCCTTGGCAGGCCTGGAACTCAATATATAGACCAAGCTGGCCTCAAAACCAGATATCGGCCTGTTTGTGCCTCCCGAGCACTGAGATTGAGACATGCACCATCACTCGTGGCTGTCCCCCTTTGGGACTGTATTCATCAGATAACATAATGGCATATATCAGGACATTTTCTTGCACATACAGTTTAACCATGTTCATCTGCCTTAGTTTCCCTCCTCCTCCCCTTTAGCTTTGATCTGATATAAAATGTGTTTAGTTATCACACATATTGGTGCCTCACAAAGTAATTTACTCTTTTGTTTGTTTGTTTGTTTCGTTTTTTCAGACCAGTGGACATCTGGGCTTTGGGCTGTATGATCATTGAGATGGCCACTGGTAATCCCTACCTTCCTAGCAGTTCAGATTTGGATTTGCTCCACAAGATTGTTTTAAAAGTAGGTAGGTATTACTGAAATACTCTGCTATGTGTCTAAGTAACTGCATCAGTTATCCTTGGTGCCCATGTTTAGGGAGTGAATACTGAGGAAGCGCCTTGTGAGACAGGTGATGGCAGATGGGTTCCATGCTGGTAAAGAAGGCAGAAAATTGTTTTGACAAATAATGTTTTCTTTGCAGGAACTCAAAGCCCCATGTTAATCATTGCTGCTAAGAAAAGTAGTAGAGTAGTAGTCTACTTCACTGAGTTAAGTCTCCAACCCCACCCACTACTGCAAGTTTTCTAAAAGTTGTGCTGTTCTGGAACTCAAAGTTGGCCTCTGCAAATACTTGCTCTTCTAGACAAGGGCTTTTAATAATAAAGTTGAGTCAGATGCTTTTTAAAAGTATTGGAGATAGAAAAGCAATTATTTGCTAGTAAATTATTTTCTTTTTAATAAGATCTACTTTGTTTTAATTGTGTGTATGTGTATGCATCTGTGTGTGGGTATGTGCATTTAAGTGCTGGTGCCCAGAGACCAGAGGTGTTGGATCCCCTGGAGCTGGAGCTACAGCAGTCAACTGTAAGCCACCAGAGGTGGGTTCTGGGAACCAAACTTGGGTCCTATGGAACTGCAGAGTGCCCTTAACCCCTGAGCCATCTCTTCCAGTCCCCTTAAATCATCCTCTTTATCAACAACCACCACAACCCCACAGTAGAAAACCATGTCGCTAAATAATGTGTTCAGTAATATAGCTGATGAAAAGTAAAATTTGAAAGTATACTTGATAAGAGTTTAATTATCTTACAATCTGTTTTAACTACTGTCTTAGATGCTTTTCTTGTTGCTCTGATAAAATATCTGATAAAGCAACTTTAGGGCGATCAGATTTATTTTGGCTCACAGCCCCAGGTTCTAGTCCATCATGGAGCCGAAGTCACAGCAGGAGCTTGAGGACCTGGTTACATCACACCCACAATCAGGAACAGACAGTAATAAATACATTCATATTGCTTGGCTCCCTTTCTCCATTTCTACAATCCTGGACCCAGCCAGGGAGTCATCCACAGTAGGAGGTCAATTAATGTAATCAAGATAATTCCCCAGGGCGTCCCCAGAGGCTTCCAGGTTGACAATTTACACTGATCACCGTAACTACCTAGACATTTTGGTAGTTAGCTTTACGCCTGGTATTTCAATCTGAAGGAGGAGCTTGAGGAGCCCCAAGTGTGTGGGGGAAACTCTTCATAAACACATAATTGCAGGATTATGAGGAAGAAGGTAGTGTGAACAGTCATTAAAGCAGTAAAACCTGGATTAACATTGATTGAGGATGATCTAAGATTAATAAAAGTCAGATCGAGCCTTGAAGCATCCACTTTATGTTCCTTTTTAAAGCCCTATTCTGAGACTGTGTTAGAAGAGAGCTTGGAGGTGATGACATTAACCCTGTCATCTTACAGAGGGAACCAAGCCATAAATGATGAAGAGATTTGCTCCATGGCACATTATTAGTGGTGGTGAAAGGTACCAGAGCCTAGTCTCCATGAGTGTTCACAGTTCTTTGCACTCTGCAGCTGCGGCTGGTCTTCTTCCTTCTACATCAGTGCTTCTCAACTTCATAATGCTGCGACCCTTTGATACAGTTCCCAATGTTGTGGTGACCCCCACCATAACATTATTTCCATTGCTCCTTCCTAAGTGTACTTTTGCTGCTGTGATGAATTGTAATGTAAACATCTGTACTTCCTGATATTCTTAGGTGACTCTTTGGTTGTTCAACAACACCAAGGGATCACAGCCTACAGGTTGAGAACCACTGTTCTATACAATACTTTGGTTTCTGAATTACTTTACTGTGTTTTTTGGTTTTTCAAGACAGGGTTTCTCTGTGTAGCTTTGGCACCTTTCCTGGAACTCACTCTGTAGCCCAGGCTGGCCTCAAACTCACAGAAATCCACCTGCCTCTGCCTCCTGAATGCTGGGATTAAAGGCGTGCGCCACCACCGCCCGGCTAAAGACTTATTTATTTTATGAATATGAGTGCTCTACCTGCATGTGCAACTTCATGCCAGAAGAGGGCATCAGATTCTACTATAGATGGTTGTGAGCCACCATGTGGGTGCTGGGAATTGAACTCAGGACCTCTGGACATGTGGCCAGTGCTCTTAACCACTAAACCATCTCTCTAGCTCTTTACTGTGTTTTTTTGTTTGTGTAGTTTTTGTTTGCTCTGTAGACCAGGCTGGCCTTGAACTCAAATATCTACCTGCCTCTGCCTCCTGAGTGCTAGGATTAAAAGTTGTGTGCTACTAGGCTGGAGAGATGGCTCAGAGGTTAAGAGCACTAGCTGTTCTTCCAGAGGCCCTGAGTTCAATTCCCAGCAACTACATGGTGGCTCACAACCATCTGTAATGAGATCTGGTGCTCTCTTCTGGCCTGCAGGCGGATGTGCTGTATACATAATAAATAAATAAATAAATAGATAAACAAACAAATAAATAAATAAATAAATCTTTAAAAAAAGAAGTTGTACACTGCCACCACCTGACTCTATTGTTTTAGCTGTTATGAGTAAGGTTTCAGTCTGTAAGGATGAACACTTGACAGTTAAACCATTAAGATCAAGTAGAGAAACATGTCCAATTTTAAAGTTCTTTTGATGGTAATTATTTATTATGCCTTAAAGTTTGGGGGTAAAAGAGCCATATGGTTTTATGTATTTTGCTGCCTGTCAGCAGCTTACTGGAGGAAACTTCAACTTATTTATTTATTTGGGTGACATAGATTTTCTTTTTTTTATTAAAATTTTTTCTATTTATGTAACAACCACAGATCCATCCCCTCCTCCCACTCCCTGGAAACTTCAATTTTTAAAAGTTAATTTTTTTTTTTAAACAGAGTTGGAAACTGAACCTAGGGCTTACACTTGTTAGACAAGCACTCCACTGCAGAGCTCTGTCCCTAACCTAGAGCCTCTGTTTTCATAACACATTTAGATATTTTCTCGACTGTAAACTTGGTGCTCTTCCTCTTCTCCACATTCATGACTGAGAGCGAATGGTGTGCGATCCCCACTGAGAGTGAATGAACTTGCGATCTCCACTGAGAGCGAATGAGAGCGAATGGTGTGCGATCTCCACTGAGAGCAAATGAACTTGCGATCTCCACTGAGAGCGAATGGTGTGTGATCTCCACGAGAGCAGTTTCCTGACTCAGACACTTGGTTATCGTTTCAGGCAACCTGACGCCGCACCTGCACAATATCTTTTCCAAGAGTCCCATCTTTGCCGGGGTGGTTCTTCCTCAAGTTCAACACCCAAAGAATGCAAGAAAGAAATACCCAAAGCTCAACGGATTGCTGGCAGAGATAGTTCATGTATGTTAAGACATTAAGAACGACTAAGAATTTGCAGAAATCATAATAACATGGAGTCTTGTCTTCTCTTTGGTGTTAGAAATGGAGCACACAGCTGGACGAGCATTCTACCCCTGAGCCACCCTCCCAGCAATAATACAGTTTTAAAATGTTACTTGAAAGAGATTCCAGAAAGACTCCTAAAGTGATCTTAACATGTTACATACTACGTAGAAATTAATAGAGAGAAATTAACATTTAAGATACCGAGGGGTAAATTGGGAACACTTAAAGGACTTGCCATGTTTCCCACCACCGTCAGCATCTGGTCCACCAGGCTAGGGCTGCTGTGTGTCCTGCGCTGTCCTAACTTTCTACAGAGGCATCTGTTGGCTGCTATCATTTGAATGTTGCTGAGCATACACCACCCAAATTCACAAATCAGAGAAAACAAAAACATTTTAAGAGCTGTGCTGTGCGTGTGTAGTGTACATACTTGAGAGTGTGAGTGTGTGTGCACACGGGCATCTTGTATGCATATATCTCCAGAAGTCAGAACTTAATGTAGGTGTCTTTCCTTGAAGCTCTCCATGCTTTGTTGTTGTTTAGATAGAATCTCTTTCTACGGTATAGCTCAGGGATACAGTACTTAACTCACATTCACAAGGTCCTGAGTTCAGGCATGCCGGGTAGAGGGAGGGAGACAGGAAGGAGAGAGGGAGATATCCATTTCAGTGAACCTAGAGCTGCTGGCCAATGAACATAATCCGAGTGCCTCCTCCTCACTGGTGCTGGGTTGCAGATCCATGCAGCCATAGCATCTAAACTCGGGTCCTTAAGTTTACATGGCAGTTTACCAGCTGAGCCATCTCCCTAGCCCTTTTTTCTTATTTTAAGTTTTAAATTTTATTTAAACTAAGTAGCATATGAACACAGTACAAAATTCAAATAATATAAGGTGGATTTATTATGAATAGCAAATCTTATTTTATTTCTCTAACCAGCTGGTTTGCTATACCAGGAGGAGTGAAGGTGCTTATTTTAGATGAGGGTTGTATGACCATTGGTGTGGAATAGTAGTTTAAGATGTGTTACATTCGTATATGCTGTGGAGTATTTGCTTGTTGTGCGAGCCTGCTTACCCAAGTTTCTTCCCGGAACCCACATAAAGGTGGAAAGACAAAGCCAACTCCACAGTGTTGTCCTCTGACTTCCACACATGTGCTATGGCATGCCTCCTCCCCAACAATAAATGAAATGAAAAGATTTCACATCTACAGGGCTTGGTCTCCTTGAGTGTTCACAGGACAGCAGTGCTGTGGTGTGGACTGTGGAGAAGTGCCGGGAAAGGACCTTTTCGCAGACAGAGAATGCATTTTATAAAGCATATGCCTTTCATTCAAATCCTATGGTCACTGTTTTAAAGAGTGGTTCTCTGTAATGACAGTCTGAGTGTTTAGTGACCTATGGATCATTGTGTACAGCTTCCTTTTCACAACTTGTCCCATGAGTTGCCTTTGGGTTTTGGTTGTCTCCTCAGCTGAGACATTCCCAGGGCAGAGAGACACAGAAGAGCCATTCATTGATTAAAAAAAAAAACTTTATTTTATGTATGTTTGTGTTTTGCCTGTATATGTGTGTGTGTGTGTGTGTGTGTGTGTGTGTGTAGTGCCTGCAGAGGCCAGAGAGAGGGGTGGAGCCCCCGGGACTGGAGTTAGAGATGGTTGTGAGCTGCCATTTGAGTGCTGGGAATTGAACCCAGCTCCTGGAGAGTGCTCTGAACTGCTGAGCCATCTCTCCAGCTCCAGAAGAGCTGCATTAACGCTGGGCTTTCGGAGGACTGAGAGTTGCAGTATTCACTGAGCTTCCTTAGGCCACAAAGGGTGCAGCATTAGGAGCCAGCTGATACAGGTTCAAATCCCCATTTGACCAATCACTGATCATGCTTCTAGATCTGGACAATATAAATTATTCCCTATGAACTTCTCCCCCACACAGGGCTGACAGAAGAGCAAAGCTAAATTATCTCTGTTAACCTAATGCAACTTCATGATTTTATTACTGCTTGTGTGTAAGAGAGATGCTGGGAATTGAACCCAGAGCCTTGTGTGTGGTGGGCTAGTACACTACCTCTAAACTATACCCCCAGTTCCTAATTTCTGTTAATTATAGCATGAGCAGGCTGATTTTATTTTGGCTAGGATCGTATAACTTTTAACCTGTAATAAAAGTTTCACCGGCTGGTTAGATGGCAGCTGGTAGAGGCACTTTAATGCAGGCCTATTGACCTGAATTTAATCCCCAGATCCTACAAGGTCTCAGGAGAGAACCAATAACAGAGTTGTTCTCTGGCCTCCCCATGTGCCTGTGGCATGCACATATAAAATGTAACTTTTAAAATAAGTTTCGTGAGAGTAAATTTCTTAGGTAAATAGATTGTCAGAACTTAACTGTTAGAAATCTGTATATTTCAGGCAGATCTCTGTGAATTCGAGGCTAGCCTGGTCTACAAAGTGAGTTTCAGGACAGCTAGGGCTGTTACACAGAGAAACCCTGTCTCCATAAAACAACAACAAAAAAAGAAAGAAAGAAAGGCAAGGAAAGGAAAAGAAACTTGCCTATTCTGTTAGCACTGAATAATGACTTTGTCATGTGTCAAATCAGTTTTTTACCTGTTAAAGACTTAATTTTAGAGCAGAGCCCAAAGCTCATCTTGTATTAAACCTTTTTCTTTTCTAGGCTTGTTTACAAATTGACCCTGCAGAGAGGACATCATCTACTGATCTTTTGCATCATGATTACTTTACTAGAGATGGATTTATTGAGAAGTAAGCATGTGTGCTCTTTCTAGAAGGGGAATCGCTAGATAGAATAATGTTGCAAACCACAAATATTCAGCTTGACAGAAAGTTAACGGTTACTGCACCAGGTATTGATCAGGTACATGGTAGTCTGGCAGGTGACATGGGTGAGAGATTTAATGCAAGTAATTGCAGCTAGCATTCATTACAGGGACATGGGATTGTAGGCAGTGTACCAAGATCCCATTCTACAATTGCAGCCTCATCTCAGATCAGAGGTCATATTTAATACAAGAATTAAGGGTGTGTTTTCTTTTTATGTATGTGTATGTGCACATGTGTGTGGGTGCCTATGGAAGTTCGAAGAACAGTAGATCCCCTGGAGGTGGAGTTACAGGCAGTTGTGAGCTGCCTGAGTGTTGGAAAACAAGCTTTATGTAAGTCCAGAGATACAAACAGCTTCTGTATCACAACCCAAATTGACATTTTATTAAATTCACATCTCAAAGGGAATCTAATGTAAGTCTGTTCTGTAAGTTTGTTTTGGTTTTCTTTTTCGAGATGGTTTCTTTATGTAGTACTGGCTGTCCTGGAACTAGCTTTGTAGATCAGGCTGGCCTGGACCTCACAGAGATCCACCTGCCATGGGTTGTTGTTTTTTGTTGTTTTGTTTTTTGAGACAAGATTTCTGTGTAGCCCTGGCTGTCCTGGAACTCTGTTTGGAGACCAGACTGGCCTCCAACTTGGAGATGTGTCTGTATCTGCCTCTAAGTGCTGGGATTAAAGGCGTGTGCCACCACCACATGGCCTGTTTTGTAAGTTTTATGTGGTAAATTGCCTTAGCAAAATGTCCACAATTATTGTTAGATAAATATTTACACCATCTTGGGCAACTATGGTATGGTGATGCCTGTCATCTTAGCACCCAGGAAGCTGAGGCAGAAGGATTTTATACGTGGCACCAACTTGGGCTATACAGTGATATCCTGTCACAAAACAAATCAAAGAGTGCCATCTCTTGGTGTCAGTTATTATAAAGCATTGTTTATACTTGAAAAATGCTTCTAGTAAGATAAACCATGTAAGTTAAAAGATGATGGGTAAATATCGCTTGATTCATCAGATTCATACCAGAGCTGAGAGCTAAATTATTACAAGAAGCAAAGGTTAATTCCTTCATAAAGCCAAGAGAGAATTTTAAAGAAAATGAACCTGTCAGAGATGAGGGGAAACCAGTTTTTACCAACACGCTGCTTTATGGAAACTCATCACTTTATGGAAAGGTGAGTTGTGCCTAGCTTTTTGTTTCAGCCTGTGTAGTTATGTCCTAGTTAGGTCTCTCATGACTCAGACTCTCAACGTACCTATTTCAGGAAATGGACAAAGACAAAAGGCCCAAGGAGATCAAAGTCCGAGTTATTAAAGTCAAGGGAGGGAAAGGAGATGTCCCAGACCTGAAAAAGATAGAGTGTGAAGGGGACCACCGGCAGCAGGGCCCAGCCGATGACACGCACAGCTCGTCTCAGGACAGAAAGCCTGCCGTCGCCGAAGTGCCAAACCCTGTCAACCCCGGCACGAACTCTGATGGTGTCAAAGAAGACCCACATGCTGGAGGCTGTATGATAATGCCACCCATCAACCTGACAAGCAGTAATCTGATGGCTGCAAATCTCAATTCCAACCTCTCCCACCCCAGTTCACGGTGAGCTGGAGCAGAGAAGAGAGAGGCCCAAGTAAAACAGCTTCCTGTCTGATGGCATTTCAGAGTTACTTCTGTGATGTCAGTGGAGACCGAATTTGAAAAAAATCTGTTGAAATTACCATCATGTAGCAGGGCATTCACTGAGTAGTTTTGGAGAATGCCATATGAGAAGTTTTTTCTTAGCTATATAGGAATTTAATTTTTTTTTGAGACAAATTGCCACAGAGCCCAACTAGCCTAGAACTTGGCTTTGTAACCCAAGCTGGCCTCCTCCACATGGTCTGCCAGTCTCAGTCTCTTCAGTGACTGGATTGCAGATGTGTACCGCCACAACCAATTTAGATGTCTAATTGTTCACTGGTATCTTTGGCATCGCTTTAAAATATTTATTTTATGTTTGTATGTGTCCCTGTGTATATTTATGTGTACCACATTCATTCAGGGTCTGTGGAGGCCACAGGGCATCAGATCCCCTGGAGCTGGAGTTATAGGCAGTTCTGAGCCACCAATGTAGGTACTGGGAACTGATCGCAGGTCCTCTGCATGGATAATACTCACTCTTAACTGCTGAGCCTGGAATATCTTTTTTTAAAATGATTTAATTTATTTTTATTTTATGTGCATTGGTGTTTTGCCTGCTTGTATGTGTGTATGAGGGCATCAGGTCACCTGGAACTGGAATTACAGACAGCTGTGAGCTACCATGTGGGTGTTGGGAATTGAACCCTGGTCCTCTGGAAGAGTAGCTAGTGTTCTCAACTGCTGAGCCATTTCTCTAGCCCTGGAATATCTTTTTAAAAGAAAAATACCAGGCCGGGAGGTGGTGGCGCACGCCTTTAATCCCAGCACTCGGGAGGCAGAGGCAGGTGGATCTCTGTGAGTTCGAGGCCAGCCTGGGCTACCAAGTGAGTTCCAGGAGAGGCGCAAAGCTACACAGAGAAACCCTGTCTCGAAAAACCAAAAAAAAAAAAAACAAAAAAAAAAAAAAACAAAAAAAAACCCTTCTATTTGAAGAGGAAAGGGGTGATTTGACTTACGTGTTGGTACCCATGTGCCTTGCTCTGTTATTGCACTTAGTATTGCTATGACAAGAACTGAGACATAGGATACTTTATAAAGAAGAGAGGCTTGCTTGGCTCGGGGTAATGGTGGCTGGAGAGTCCAGCAGCATGGTGTCACCGCTCTGGCAAGGGCTCCTTGGCTGTGTCACAGCATAGCAGAGAGGGAGGCAGGAAACTGACCCCATGTAGGAATGACGTGTGTGCAGACGAGGGAGAGAGGGCAGGGAGATGCCAGGACGCTTTATAAAGACCCTCTTTTGTGGAGCAGCCTTCAAGTGCAGGAATGCCTCCTGAGGAGAAAAATCATCAATCCCTCTTGAGATTTAGTCACCTCCTTTGTGAGAGTCCTCACCACTTACAGGCTCCACTCCTCTCAACCCTGCCCACTGGGACCAAGCTTCCAGTATGTGGACCACTGGAGGACAAAGCATATTAACTGTAGCACTCAGTACTGCAGGGTAAGCTTTATTTCTGCCTCACAGAAGATTCTCTCAATGGAAAAAGGATGCTCCAAAATTAGTCCTTCACAGCAAATCGCCTTTCAGTATGAAGTGTTTGGGTAGGAAAATGCTCTATCAGGCCAGTTTTAGATTAGCTCCTGTTGCAGATGGAGAGACTGATAGTGAACCTGCTTCATCTGGGGACTGGGGATGGACAGTGAAGACACTGGGTCTCTTTGCAAACTCACACCGTGAGGGCATTAACTCAACTAGATTCTCACAGACTCATTCAGTCTACAGGTTGTGAGGCTGAGTGGTCTGTAGGTGTAGACCAGTGCACACGTCTGTGTAGTCCAGGGGTCCATCAGGCCATAGACTGCAGTAACCAAGGTGTTCTTGAGGTGACCCCTGAGCCACACTACAGTAAGCATGGTTGTAAGCCAGTCTCAGGCAGCAGCTGAGAACTTCAGAGGTTAAATGAATTTTAGAGCAGATCCAAGGGAGCAGATGGGCCGCAAGAGTAGCTTCAGGACATGTTTTCACCGGCAGTTAGCCATGCGTTAGCTGTTCTGTCTCTGGAGTTCTGAGAACTTAAGAACTGACGGTTGCTTTTGGGCACTCAGTGTTCTAACAGCACCATAGTATAAGCCCTTTTCTTTTTCACAAGCTACAGTCTGGTTATGTTGCACAGGCTGTCCTTAAGTTAACAACCCTGCACCAGCCACTTAAATGTCAGGGTTATACGTGTTTGCAGCCAGGTCCGTCTATTATAACTTACTTGTTCTTAAAGCTAAAGCAAGGGCAATTCTGGGGCTTCTAGTAACTTCTTTATTTTTAATTCATAGGTTAACTGAAAGAGCAAAAAAGAGACGCACTTCTTCACAAGTCATTGGACAAACTTTGTCTAATAGCAGACAAGAGGACACAGGTCCCACGCAAGTAAGGCAAGATGCTAGTCATTAAAATATGGACTCTTGGGGCTGGGGAGATGTCTCAGTCAGTAAAGTGCTAGGTGAGCAAGCCTGAGGATCAGAGTTGGGTCCATAGCATCCTTGTACAAAGCTGGGCACAGTAGTACAGGCCTGTAACCCTAACCCTGGGAGTCAGAGAGGAGGAACCTTCGGCCTTTTCTGGCATCCCAGTCTAGCCAAATTAGTGAGCTACAGGTGTAACGAGAAACACTGTCTTCAAAAATAAGGTGAAGAGCTACCCAGAAAGATATGTAAATATACCCTCACACACATACACACATATGAACATGTACACACATATAGGGAATGAATAAATGGATTAATAAACATGACCTCTTTAAACATTATCTACCTTTTTTCTCTTAAATTCTCACATTAAAAATCTTCCTTCCAGCCTACCCCTTCTCTCTCCATTTTTCTCCTTCCTTTTCCTGTGCTGGGACAAGTCCAAGGCTTTGCATGCACTGAATGAGTGCCCACTGAGAATCGCTTCCCCAGTCCCTCTTTTCTCCCTGAAAGTAGACCATGATTTCCCTCGTGCTTCTCCTCAGGCTTCATGATTTGGGTTTGTCTCACTATCTTTTTTCAAAAATTTCTTTAAGATTTATTTATTTTATTTTATATGTGAATGCCTACTGGTGCCCGTGGAGACCAGAAGAGGGCATTGGTTCCCTGGAACTAGAGTTATGCATGGCTGTGAGCCACATTTGGGTGCTGAGAACTGAGCTCAGGTCCTCTGCAAGAGCAACAACTGCTCTTTACCACGGACCCTCCTCCCCAGCCTCGTTTACTAACATGTGACTTTGACCTTTCCAAATCACAAGACTTGTGTTTTTTTCTTCCAAAAATATCTTTATGGATTAAAAACACTTGCCAAATAGATGAAGTTTCCTTGCCCTAGAAATGCTAACCATGTCTTTCTTTTTTTGCTTATCATTTCTTTAATAGTATAATCAGTTTATTACATTCGAGGCACAACATTATTTATAATAATATAAAATTGAAAACATCCGAGTGTGGTGGTGCATGCCTTTAATCCCAGCACTCAGAAGGCAGAGGCAAGATGATCTCTTGAGTTCAAGGCCAACCTGGTCTACAGATCAAGTTCCAGGATGGCCAGGGTTACATAGTGAGACCCTGGCTCAATATAAATAAATAAAATATAGGGACTGGAGAGATGGTTCAGCAGTTAAGAGCACTGACTGCTCTTCCAGAGGATCTGGGTTCAATTCCCAGCAACCACATGGTGGCTCACAACCACCTGTAATGGGATCTGGTGCCCTCTTCTGGCCTACAAGGACACATGCAGGCAGAACACTATACATGATAAATAAATTTAAAAAAATAAAATATAGAAAACACAAACCTGTGTAAGAGCTGATAGTTTCTGAAGTACACTAGAGTGCATTTGCATGATGTGGTGCTGCATGTTACAGTGGAAAGTGTTCCCTGTTTTAGAGAAGTTTTTTATTGCATTCATTTATTTGCAGGGGGGGGGACATTCATGGGGAGGCCAGAGAACACTCTGTAGGAGTCAGCTGCTCTTCTACTCTGTGGCTCCCAGGGATGGAGCCCAAATCACCAGGTTTGATGACAAGCTTCTGTACCCACTGAGCCAGTTTACCACTACGGAGATTTTAGAGAGCTCTGAAGGTAGCTCTGCTGGCAGGGTCCTGAGCTTCATCCCTAGCTCTACCTGAGCCAGGTGTGGTGGTGCACATCTGTAACGTCAGGTGGCGTTAGAAGAATCAGGAGGTCAAGCCTTGACTGCATTGTAAGTTTGAGGCCATCATGGGCTACAGGAGACCTTAACTCAAAAAAAAAAAAAGAAAAAAGAGGTCAGGCGGTTGTAGATGTAACCAACCTTTTTATTAAATAAGAAACACAGAACCAATGCAAAGAAGAAAGCCAAGAGGTCAGAGCTAAGAGCTAAAACCTTACCCTTCCTCCTGCGGTGGTCCTACCTCTCCCAACCAGAGCTACTTTCTGTGTTAAAGTCCTTACATAGAATTTCTGTTCTGCCTTCTCATTGGTTGTAAACCCAACTACGTGACCGCCTCGTCACGGCCTGTCTGTATAGACCTCCAGGTTTTCCATGATTGGTAAGATTACAGGCATGTGTATCCAATAATGGCTGTATCCCTGAACACACAGAGACTTACCCAGCTCTGCCTACCAAGTGCTGGGATTACAATCGTACGCCACCACTGCCCTGCTTTCCTATGGCTTGCTAATAGCTCTGACCCCGGACAACTTTATTTATTAACATACAAATAACATTTTAATACAAATAAAATATCACCATAGGCGGTGGTGGTGCACACCTTTAATCCTAGCACTTGGGAGGCAGAGGCAGGCAGAGCTCTGTGAGTTTGAGGCCAGCCTGGTCTACAGATTGAGTTCCAAGACAGCCAGGGCTACACAGAGAAACCCTGTCTTGAAAAAACGAAACAAAATAAAAAAGCCGGGTGGTGGTGGAGCACACGTTTAGTCAGGCAGATCACTGAGTTCAAGACCAGCCTGGTCTCCAGAGCAAGTTCCAGAACAGCCAAGGCTACACAAAGAAACCTGTCTTGAAACACACACACACACACACACACACACACACACACACACACACACACACACTCACTCACTCACTCACTCACTCACTCACTCACTGGTTCTCAAAATCAAGACTAAAAACCTTGCTTGGGAAACTTCCCTGGGAATCTGGTCTTCTTGTATGGATGGAGTAGTGCCCTGTTCTTTTGGTTTGTGTGTTTGTTTTTGCTTGTTTTCTTTGAAACAGGCTTTCACTATGTATCTTAGGCTGGTCTTGAACTAGTGATCCTTCTGCCTGTCTCCCAAGTGCTGGGACTACAAGCATATCTACCAAAACTTGGTTCTGTTCTACTTCTTAATTATTAAGATAATCGCCAGTTTGTGATTCTACAGTTAGTTTCACATGATTTTTTAAAAAATATTTTAACTTTATTTTATGTGCATTGGTGTGAAGGTGTCAGATCTCCTGAAAGAGGAGTTACAGACAGTTTTGAGCTGCCATGTGGGTACTGGTAATTGAACCCGGGTTCTTTGGAAGAGCAGCCAGTGCTCCTAACCCCTGAGCCATCTCTCCAGCCCCTTCTCATGGTTCTTCATGCTAACTGGTACGTGTTTGTCTAGAGCCAAGTGGAGAAAGGCGTATTTAATGATCGAACAAGTCAGAGTGACCAAATGGCAAGTGGAAACAAAAGAAAGCTGAATTTTTCCAGATGCGACCGGAAGGAATTCCATTTCCCTGAACTGCCATTCACAATACAGGCAAAGGAGATGAAAGGAACGGAAGGTGGGTACCTGGAAAGGAACGGAAGGTGGGTACCTGGAAAGGAACGGAAGGTGGGTACCTGGAAAGGAACGGAAGGTGGGTACCTGGAAAGGAACGGAAGGTGGGTACCTGGTGGTGCACAGCTCCACAAAGCTCTGCAGATGACATAGGTAAGGGGTGGGATGTAAGGTAGCTTACATGTGACCTTTTACAAAGTAGTAAATTGCTTTGAAAAAGCAAATTCCATTATGAGATTTTTTTCTTTTATAATTAAGGGTCAGACGTTTGTTTTGTTTTAGACAGGGTCTCACTATGTGTCTCTGCTGTCCTGGAACTCACTATGTAAAGTAGGCTGGTCTCAAACTCACAGAGATCCCCCTGCCTCTGCCTCTAGAGTGCTGGGACTAAGGGTGCACCACTGCCTGACTTAATAGAGATAATTTTAAAGAAAGGTAAAGACACCTCCAAAGGGTAAATGTTTTACTAGCTTGAGATGCTGGGGCAGAATTTGAAAAAGGTGAATTTGGTTCAGTGTATAGCCTGTGGTAAAGTACCTTCCCTGGTTGTTTGCCCAAAATTGTTATAGATGCTTTGGGCATGCTGGGATTTGGTCGATTTTATAAATTTAAAATTCATTGTAACCTTAAGATTTAATTTAAGGGCTGATGGCTTAGCAGGTAAAGGCATTTGATGCTAAGCCTTGGGACCTGAGTTTGATCATGGGAATCACATTGTAGAAGGAGAGGACTGGCTCCACCCAAAAAAATCAAATGAATAAATAAATAGAATGTAATACAAATTAAACAGATACTTACCTTAAAATGAAATGTGTTGATGTGAGCAAATATCCTTTCCTTTCCTGGGAGGACAGAGACCTGGTGAAATGTGGCACAGTAGCGAGGTGTAGAGCGGGTGCCCTGTGAGGCCACTCAGTACAAAGAGCAGACATGCCTTTGTGAGATCAAAAACAAAGCATCCCATATTTTCCAGCTCACAGCTACTCAGTTCCTTTGCAACTGACTCCAAACGTGGGATGACTGGCTGCTGGGGTACCTATCTTAAAAGGATAGTTTCTAGGTGGGCCGGCAGGGCCAACAAATTACGTTGTTTTCTTCTTCTTTTTCTTCTCTCTCTCTCCTTTTTTTTTATTTTGCAAAAAGTTAAACAGATTAAAGTGCTGAAGAGAGAGTCAAAGAAAACAGATTCACCTAAAATACCAACTTTACTTACTGTGGACCCAAATCAAGAAAAACAAGAGGTAAACATTTTATACTATTTATAGAATGTTGTACTCAGTGCTTGGATTTAGTTGCTTTTGCTATTGGAAAGTTTTGTAAAAATTAAAACCTTTATAATCTTGAAACTCTAGAACAGGTCTGTTTTTATTTTCTTTTATTTGCATGTTTTTTGGCTTTTTGAGGCAGGGTCTCACTATGTAGCTCTGGCTGACTGGAACTCACTTATGTAGAGCAGGCTGGCCTCAAACTCACAGAAATCTGCCTGCCTCTGCTTCCCCAGTGCTGCGATTAAAGGCTTGTAACCCCAGACCCAATTAGTTATGTTCTAAGTGTTAGTTTTTGAAGTAGTAAGCAGCAGCCCTTGTTTGAACTGTTCCTGATTAGAATACGCAGACAGCATCCAGGACAGATGGTAGCTGTGTTATAGTCCTCATCCAACCTTGTTCAGGTGACCCGTGCCATGGGACAGGTTGTGGCTGGCTGCTGCCCTAGCTGTGTTTGCCTTTGGCTTCTTCCCTTCTGTTTTCTTCATGTTTACAGTCTTTGTTCCCTGAATCTTGTCCTGCTTTCACAAATACCTGCTGTCGGCTCCAACGCCCCCTCACCACAGCGATTGCTGGATTTTATTTGGAATCTTGTAGTTATCAGCATCCATCTGAATGCTTTCTCTGAAGGGAAGGAGACTGAACTGACAATCACTGAGTCTCAGCATACGTGTGGCCTTGGATTCCCTAGTGAGGTCATCTCCATGCATAATTTATCAATTTTATTATCCCCATTACAAATGAAAGTGACTACATTTTAATTCATGATAAAGATATTCCTGCTTTATTAAAGAAAATTGAGTGAATTAAAACTATGGAGGGCTGGGGAGGGACTGTAGCTCAGTTGGTAGTGTGCTGGCCTAGCATTGACAAGGCCCTGGCTCCACATAAACCAAGTGTGGCAGTATAGATCTCTCCCCAGCACTTGGGAGGTAGAGGCAGAAGGGTCAGAAGTTCGAGGTCATCTTCAGTGACTTTGAGACTTCATCTCAGAAAAACAAACAAAGGAGCCATATATGCTTATTTTTTTCTGAAACCCTATAAGGAGGCATTTTCATTGTGACATTTGAGGTATAGCTTTGTTTGACAGTCCCAGGACTTCTTATGTAGTCACAATCTACTTTGCAGAACCAGCTCTGTTATCGAAGAGGAAAGCCAATAGTGACCATCTTTTAGTTTGTTATAAGTCACAAGATCCTTTAAGCTTGTGCATTGAAGGATGTATTCATGTCCTGGAAGCCTGCATAGCGTACTGTTTGCAGATAGGCTAACTAATCAGGTGAATTAGGGCTCCTGGGTTTGAAGAGAGTTGTGATGTTGCACCTGCTATTCCATGAGAGACCCAGAGACCAAAACCACATATACATGCAGGGAAAGATGAATCAAAACAGTGCTCTCAGGTGTTTACATGGTGTAGAATTCCTGAAAAGGCAGCCTTGAAAAAAGAGTAACCGAAACCAGTTGCAGTTATTAGAAACACCAGGAGCTGTCAGCACTGCTCAGAGCTTATCTGCAGAGATACAGACACAGCTTGAGTTTGCAACTGAGATTCAGGTAATACTAGTCCGAGCACAGTTTAGTGAGTTAATGTCAGAATTAAGAAGGTTTCTGAGCCGGTGAAATGATTCAGTGAGTAAAGACGCTACCAAGCCCGAAGACCTGAGGTCCAGCCCCAGAAGTGACATCATAGAAAAAGAACCAGGCCCCACAAGTCAGCCCCTGACCCTGACATGAACATCATGACACACATTCATGCACACACAGAATAAATGTATGTAAAATTAAAATACTTTCCTTAGCCGTGCATGGTTTTACATGCCCTTAATCTCCATATTTGAGAGGCAGAGAACACTTGAGAGGCAGAGGCAGGTGGGTCACTGTGAGTTCCAAGGACAGCCTGGTCTACATAGTGAGTTCCAGGCCAGCCAGAGCTTTGTAGTGAGACCCTATCTCAAAATCTTTCTTCTAAATTTTCAGTCTGTAGTTTGTTTTATAGTTTGAGAGAATATCGAAACATGGGGTAGCAGCTAGGAGTATAGCTGCTGGTGCTCATCCAGCATGGGCTTGGTCTACAGCACCCCAAACAAACAAAGCCCAGAAGACAGGGAGTAGCAACTCATGTGTTCTAGTCTTGACTCTTCCATTGGCTTGGATTTTTAATTACTTCATCAGATCCAAGCACTTCCTAGACGTGTAGTAAACCCTTTCAGGAGACTTAGCAATCCATTGACATAATGTAGGTTCACACTGAAGGTACTCTGACCAGAAGGACCCGACATGACTGTGAGTGGGTAGCATGGGCAAGAGAGAAAAGAGCCCTGTTTGATGAGGAGGAGTTAGTCTTTTGCCACCAGTCTCCCTAGATCCTTTTGAAGCAGTCTGTAGCACAGAGTACAGGTATTTTGTCTCAGCTTGAGTTCCCTTAGCCAGTGACTCACCACTTCCTGTTTGTTTTTAGAAAACAAGAAATGCACCAGCGAAAGAAGAGTAACCTGTTAGCTGTAGAATAGAAAATACAGCCGATGAAAATTCAGGGAATCCCAGACTCATGTGTGGTTAAAACAACCCTTTTTGTTAATGTGTCAGGCACAGAAGTGCTGACTAGCAGTGAAGCCTGGATAGCTGGGTGTAGTATTTTTGCTTTTAAATTTATAATATTGTTCCTGTTTTCTTAATTTGAACATTAAGCTCACAAATGCCTGTTAATAGAACTATGTCTCACATCAAGTCATGTGATTTTATTTAATCATCTATTATTTCTGGCATGTTGATTAGTGCTCGTTCCTAGGTTTGGTTGAGAACTTTATAGGTATATAAGGGGAAAGTTACTAAATATATAACATAGAGTCCAATGCAATATGTAATACAGAGAGTCCCAATGTAAATATGTAATATATAGAGTCCCAATGTAAATATGTAACACAGAGTCCCAGTGTAAATATGTAACACACAGTCCCGATGTAAATATGTAACACACAGTCCCAATGTAAATATGTAACACACAGAGTCCCAATGTAAATATGTAATTCACAGAGTCCCAATGTAAATATGTAATACAGAGGGTTCCACTGTAAATATGTAATACAGAGAGTTCCACTGTAAATATGTAATACAGAGTTCCACTGTAAATATGTAATACAGAGGGTTCCACTGTAAATATGTAATACAGAGTTTCACTGTAAATATGTAATACAGAGTTCCACTGTAAATATGTAATACAGAGTTTCACTGTAAATATGTAATACAGAGTTCCACTGTAAATATGTAATACAGAGTTCCACTGTAAATATGCAATACAGAGTTCCACTGTAAATATGTAATACAGAGGGTTCCACTGTAAATATGTAATACAGAGTTCCACTGTAAATCCGTAATACAGAGTTCCACTGTAAATATGTAATACAGAGGGTTCCACTGTAAATATGTAATACAGAGTTCCACTGTAAATCTGTAATACAGAGCCGGGCGGTGGTGGCGCACGCCTTTAATCCCAGCACTCGGGAGGCAGAGCCAGGCGGATATCTGTGAGTTCGAGGCCAGCCTGGGCTACAGAGTGAGTTCCAGGAGAGGCGCAAAGCTAGACAGAGAAACCCTGTCTCGAAAAACCAAAAAAAAAAAAAAAAATCTGTAATACAGAGGGTTCCACTGTAAATATGTAATACAGAGGGTTCCACTGTAAATATGTAATACAGAGGGTTCCACTGTAAATATGTAATACAGAGGGTTCCACTGTAAATATGTAATACAGAGTTCCACTGTAAATATGTAATACAGAGGGTTCCACTGTAAATATGTAATACAGAGTTCCACTGTAAATATGTAATACAGAGGGTTCCACTGTAAATATGTAATATAGAGGGTTCCACTGTAAATATGCAATACAGAGGGTTCCACTGTAAATATGTAATACAGAGTTCCACTGTAAATATGTAATACAGAGAGTCCCATTGTTAATATGTAATATAGAGAGCCCTAATGTAAATATGTAATACAGAGAGTCCCAGTGTAAATATGTAATACAGAGAGTCCCATTGTAAATATATAACACAGAGAGTCCCACTGTAAATATATGATACAGAGAGTCCCACTGTAAGTAAATATGTAATACAGAGAGTCCTAATATAAATATGTAATATAGAGAGTCCCAATGTAAATATATAATAGAGTCCCAATGTAAATGTATAACACAGAGAGTCCCAATGTAAATATGTCATAGAGTCCCAATGTAAATATGTAATACAGAGAGTCCCAATGTAAATATATGATACAGAAAGTCCCAATGTAAATATGTGAGGCAGAGTCCCAATTTCTAGGAGCCAAAGATTCCTAAGCATGAGCCGGTGTTGGGTTCCACACTGAACATGCTGGCCAGACACTGAGTCCTGTCCCGTAGTTTGATTGAAAGGATGGGACTTAAACTGAGTAGCTCTTACCATTCAGTAGACCGCCTGTAGTGTAGCATTAGTACAGTCGTGGCTTTGACAGCAGATGTTCACATTTCTTATCCCTGGTTCTTACTGGCTTGGTTTTTAATTTTAGGGTGGAGATGGCGATTGTGAGGGGAAGAATTTGAAGAGGAACAGATTTTTTTTTTCCCGATAGTGTTTTGTCTTTTAAGTAATCTTAAAAATCCAAGCTTGACAACTCTTTCTTTGTTATTTACACACAATAGAAGGTAACATAGGCTGCTGTTAAGATAGCCATTCATCCTGTCTGCATCAGCATCGTCTGCTTTTTTGGTTTTGTTAGCAGAATTTTAACCATTTTTCTCTTTCCTCTAAAAACTGTGTTATTTTAATGCTGTGATTTGGAATTATAAAGTCACCTTACTTCTACCTGCTTCCTTCCTTGCCATGATTACTGAGTGGGTAGCACAGGTCACAGGATGTGCCCTGCTCACACTGCTCACACTGCTCACACTGCTCACACTGCTCTCAGCCTGCTGAGAGTCAGACCTCTACAGCCACTTGACTCCT